TCAATCCTAAAGAGAAACTGCTACATGGGTTCATATTCACCTTATGAGTTACCTTTGAACTGCAGTTCTAAAAGATCTACCGACCGCAAAAACAGCGGAGTGCTCGCTGCTTGCCGGCCGCATCAGTGATCAGTGTGCCCCGCTCCAGCAGCGAAACACATCAGGCGCAAATAACACTCTGGGGAGCAGTAGCAGGGGTTGTATGAACTAGTCGACTTCACTATAGTGACTTTTTATGCCTGTCGTCGACTAGTCGCTGTCACGTGATAATGACCGGCAAGATGCTGCCCTCGGAAAAGACAGCAGCCTGCTGTCAGCAGGTGACAAGCTCCTGCACTCGGGGGGGCAACGCGCTTTGCCAGTGTGTCGGTACTGACACGCGATCGTTCATGTCGGTTCATTTCCTTTAATGTTTACTGTCTTTTATTTGCACCTGATGCGTTTCGCTGCTGTGGAGCGGGGCACATCACCTTGTCCTCCGACGCACTGAAGGAAATGAACGATCGCGTGTTAAATAATTTGGCAACACCTGATTGTTACTGTGGCCGTGCTCAGGAGGCAGATCCGACCACGAAAACAGCGGAGCGCTCCCTGCTTGGCGGCCGCATCAGTGATCAGTGGTGGTCGGCCCCTCTATCAGAACTTTGTCCTCCAAAATGCCTAGTCTTAAACGAGCCCAGACCTTCTGGTCGTGATGGGGGTTTGCTTACATTATACAACTCCTTTCTCCCTCTGAAACCACTCTCGGGTTTTGTGACTCCCTCAAGTTTTGAGCTGTCAGTGTTTGAATTAGCCTGCTGCCCACCTGTACTCTGTGCTCTCTGTTATCGTCCACCTAAATATAACTCAGTCTTTCTAAATGAATTTTCAGACTTTTCAGCTGATTTCCTCCCAAAATATGAAAGATGGATTATCCTTGGTGATTCTAACATTTTAACAAGGAGTTTTGGGACATTTGAGATTTGTTTGATCTACAGCAACTGGTCAAAGATCCTACCCATGAACGCTCCCATACACTGGACTTAGTTTTATCTTTTGGACTCTGTGTTTCTGATTTATTTGTACATCAGGTGTGTATGTCTGATCCTTTTCCAATCATTTTTAATATCTCAAACCTACCATCCCTCCCTACAAGGCATCAGGCTATACATTATGCTCGGTATAATGCTCCCTCGTCCTCTGTTATGCTGTCATCTAGCCTGGAGGCTGGCCTTTTAACATCTTTTTCCTCATCTACATCGGTGGGGGTAGATGGTTTGGTGGACTCCTTCAATATGGCTTGTTCTGTTGCACTAGATGCTGTTGCACCGCTTAAACTCAGGCAAAAAAAGACCATCTCTGATCCCTAGTTAAACGACAACACTCGTGCTCTCAGACGCCAGTGTAGGACACTTGAACGTAAATGGAAAAAGGACAAGCTACAAATTTCCCTACAAATGCTGAAAGACTCCCTGGCAGCTTATCAAAAAACTGTCAGATCAGCTAAAAATAATTATTTTGCCAACATCATTGAGAGGCATCGTGGTGATCAACGCAAGCTTTTCAGTACCATTAACTCTGTTCTTTCACTAAAGGAATCCACCGCCCCCTCCACACCAACTATAGCACTATGCACTGATTTTCAGAATTTTTTCCTGGAAAAAATCAGTTCTATTAGACATAATCTGTTGGGACCTGTACCCAGAAAGAGTCACTCTGTTCTCCTCCATTCTCTGATTTTGATCCTGCCTCCCTTCAAGATCTGGATAAATTAATCAAGTCCATGAAACCCTCAGGTTCCCCACTGGATGTTCTCCCCCCAATGTTGCTACTTCGGGTTCTACCAGTAGTGGGTCCTTTTATTCTGAGTATTTTAAATTACAGTTTGTCATCAGGAATGTCTCCAGAATCCTTCAAGAAGGCGGTCGTCCAACCGCTATTGAAAAAACCTGGCCTGGATCAAAATGATTATGCAAGTTTCCATCCAATCTTCAAACTTCCTTTTTTATCTAAGGTTATTGAAAAAGTGGTACATGCTCAACTCTCACATCATTTACTGGAACATTCACCACTTGACCATTTTCAGTCTGTTTTTAGGCCAAATGCTAGCACCGAGTCTCCACATATTCGTGTGTTAATTGACATTCTGACAGAAACTGATGCTGGTTCCTTTGTTCTGTTACTACTGCTAGACCCATCAGCGGCATTCGATACAGTTGACCCTAGCATTCTGCTAACTAGGCTGAAATCTTTTGTTGGAGTCACAGGGACTGCACTAAATTGGTTTCACTCCTATCTGTCTGACAGGAGTTTCAGCATTCACATAGGCAATTGCTCTTCTCCTTTTGTCCAGCTCCCCTGGGGAGTTCCCCAGGGCTCTATTCTAGGTCCACTCCTCTTTTCTATATATATCCTTCCACTGGGAAACATCATTGCTAAACATGGCCTACATTATCACATATACGCTGATGACTGTCAAATTTCTATGGCTTTAAATCAATCCAGTTCCATTACTCAGCTCTCGGAATGTCTCTCAGAAATTAAAACCTGGCTAGCTTCCAATTTCCTGTAGTTCAATGACAATAAGACCGAGGCCATTCTTTTCAAACCAAAACATAATCTGCATACTTCTGCTGCCTTTGATCTCTCCCCCCTAAACCTTAATTCATGTGTGACCAGCCTTGGGGTTAAACTGGATGTTGACTTGTCAATGAGTGCACATGTTAATGCCACTGTTCGATCCTGCTTCTTCCAGCTTCGTCGCCTTGCCCAACTAAAGCCCATTCTTAAGAGGCCACACTTAGAATCAGTTATTCATGCATTTATCACTTCCAGACTCGACTTTTCCAACTCAGTTGTAATTGGTGTAAATGTATCTGTCCGAAATCGTCTGCAGAAAGTCCAGAATGCTGCAGCCAGATTTCTTTCCAATGCAAATAAACGCTGTCACATCACTCCCATTCTGGATGGACTACACTGGATTCCTATGCAATTTCGAATTCAACACAAAGTTCTAACTTTTACCTACAAAGCCCTGAGTGGTCTAGCCCCCTCAACAAGCCCAGAAGGATACTGCAGCCTTGTTGACATTTCAGGAGGAACAAGATGTCAGGCTGTGTTCCCAAACAAAGCCTTCTTTTGATAACACTGCAGGGTTTCTCACTCTCTGAATAAAGTGACTATTTTCAGCTCATATGAGTTAATCAATCATGAAATGGAATGAACAAATGTCATATGAATAATAATGTTTTGATTAATCTGTGCTTAAATTAATAAGGTTGCTTAATCTGTGCTTGAATTACTGAAGTTTGAAATGACAAGTGAATCATTATCTACACTCAGACACAAGGTTCATTAGAGATAAATTAAAGTTAAGTTAAACGTCATGACACATGGATATGTTCTTAGCCACAAATCAGAGTATCCTTTATCTGAAAGAAGGCGTGATGTTTTGAGGTTTGACTGTTAACCCCCCTTAACATGGCATGTCCCAGTTGGCCAAGAAATCATAATATGAGAATATTAAAACAGAGCTCACTGGACGGTGAGTCAGTTCTAGAGCAAGCTACGGACAGACCATCCGTAGCGAACCCTCTTTAACCCACAGCATTTTTGACAAGCTGTCAAAACCCCTGCTAAAGGCTGCCTACAGCTGGCACAGCAAAACGGTTCCTTCAGCTATTCAGAAACAGCTGTTGTAAACGCAAACTAGTTCATCTATCTGTTGTGATCCAGGAGATGACTCTGGACCGACCCGGTCGTACAGCAGTCTTTTCCATGAACCTCGGTACCTTGAGGTCAACCACTCCAGGTAATATATTAAGCTTAAAAGCAACAACATTCACCATCTACAACATTACTCCAGTGGAGAAATAATAAACTCCAAAACAAAATGTGAACAACAGATTTTTTTAAATTCCCAGTAATGGAAGAATCAATAACCTGAACAGGGATTATGGTAGAGACTAGAAACTTCAGATTGTTATTTCATACTCATGTTTTCTTTTTTGTTGAATACATTTGCATTAGCAGTTTTGAAATTGCCCACACGAGCCTCTCTTCTTACTTGTAGTACATGTTTTTAATGCAAACATCTGATAAGCAGTGATTTTGCAGTTATTCTACAATTTCTACCTCTTTTGTAAGAGACAAAATTACAGTTTTAATCCAATAAAACTGTGTAAATACATGGCTTGCTGTCTTTTAAAAAACATTTATAGGTGAGGGATCAGACAAAGTACATCCCAATGAGCCCTTATGAACACCTCCCTGGTGAGGTTTTCTGGGCACGTCCAACTGTAAGCAGACCCAAGGGAAGACCCAGGACACGCTGAAGGGACTATGCCTCTCACCTGGTCAGGGAACGCCTTGGAACTCCTCCAGAAGAGCTGGCCCAAGTAACTGGGGAGAGGGAAGTCTGGGCGTTTCGGCTTAGGCTGCTGCCCCCGCGGCCCAACCCTGGATAAACGGCTGAAAATGGATGGATGGACATTTAAAGCAAATTTACCAACGTCAGCATGTGATGATTAAACTGACAAACATCATCTCACCAGTCAAGAAACATAGAAGCTGTGCTGTGGGTGAACCTTCGTTGCTGAAAAAAACTTCATCTGTGATCATTTACATCATTTCAACATGACAAGTTGCTTCTTCTGTATCTGATTTATATTCTGTTTTTGTTTTATAATCTATATTCCGGTAGTCTTTTCAAGACATCAAAAAGGGTTTAAACTATATCCTCATAAGCACACTAACAGAGACACCAACTGTATACATTTCTGTGCAATAGAATGAAAACAGGGACAGATCTGATCTGATTATTTTTTACACCACAGTTATTTATCTGTTATTTTATGGGCACTATGTCCACACCTCCTGACTGTAAAAAAACAAACCTTTGTCTCACTCACACACACACACACACACACACACACACACACACACACACACACACACACACACACACACACAAGAGGAGTGGTGAAACCTTCTTATCTTGATCCATCCAGTGGTTTATAATGTGCTCTCTCACCTGATGAGTCACTTTTCCCAGAACACCAGAGCGATCGGAGGTAAGACTAAAAGCTATTCATCTGCTGCTTTTCTCTAGAGTGACTTAATATTCTCCATGATTAGCTGACGTTTAAGTATATATCATATAACGCCTAACATCTGTGAAAATAGCATTTCACTTTCAATGGCAATGCTGAACATGTGTTTATTAGTAAATATATATTTTGCACACTTTTCAACATCTCTTACCACCATTAACATTTATATAGTCAACTCAGGGAAAACAGTTAATGCTGACATGCAAAACTGCATCTAATTTTTCTGCAGTCATAAAGAAGTGTATGGTGAAATGAGAAAACTTATAATATGGTGCAAAAGTTCATTTATGTCAGTGTCATGGATTTATCAATATGTTTATCAACAACCCATTTCCTATAGGCGGAGAGAAAAGGGAGACAATGAACAACAAGTCAAACAGTGATAACTATGGCAGATGCACGAGGCAAAATGCACCGAACATCCGGTCACAGAGTTTATTTATAGAGAGGGAGAATTGTGTGTGTGTGTGGGAAGTGAAGAATGTGGGTGTGTGTGTGTGTGTGTGTGTGTGTGTGTGTGAGTGGCTTGTGTGGGTGAATGAATGAGCATGCAGAGAGGCATAGAGCAATACATTTACATTCAGTTGATTGAGTCCATGATCAAGAATTAAGAAACATAAGTTTTTCCATAACATTCCCTCCTGTTTATCCGAATAGGATAACCAAACAAAGGGAAGCAACAAAACGAAACAAAACAAAATAAGGAAAACAAAATAGTCTCCTACTCACCCTAAACCTAAAAATCTAACCCTCACCCTAAATCCCTACTCTAACCCTAAGGTCCGTGAGGCTGATGCGTGATTACATTAGCTTTTACCGGTATGTTTACTAGTCTCCTACTCCCCCTACACCTAAAAATCTAACCCTCACCCTAAAACCCAAAGTTCCGTTGGTCTGATGCGTGATTGCATGAGTCTCTACCTAACCAAGACCCCTTGTGGCCAATTAGGATTGGGTTAAGAATAATGTTTTAAACTAAGGAGGTTGGTTAGTGCCACCTGCCCACCTTATTTTTAGTTTCTAACCCTAAAACTCTATATTTATGGGGGTTGGTTAATGCCACTCGCCCACCTTACTTTTAGCCTTTAGCCCTGAATTTCAACTCTAACCTTAACCAAGACCCCTTGTGGCCATTTAGGATTGGTTTAATAATAAATATTTTAAACTATGGAGGTCGGTTAATGCCATCCACCCACCTTACTTTCAGCCTCTAACCCTGAACTTTAGTTCTAACCTTAATTAAGATTCTGGTGCTTAGTCTGGATCAAATTATGAATAATGTTTTGAAATATGGAGATGCTTTAGTGCTACCTGCCCATCTTAATCTGCAATTTTAACCCTAACCTTATAAATTATTCTAATAGATCACGGTCGAATCATTACGCCTAAAGCGTTATTTTAATTATATGGGGTCTGAATTTTACGATTAACTGCATGAACATAAGTCCAGGGTTACAAAGATATGCGCTATCACATACGGTTCTATGCTTTAAAATCCTGTGGAATAATAACAGATTCAAATAATTCTAACACGTCAGGGTGATAGGATTTCTCTTTGGACCAGCTAGAACCATATTAAACAAGACTTATTTATATTACAGGAAAGTTCTGCACAGGCCTTTACTTAAAAATGGAGTGGATACCACATCAACAATGTGGTGAACCCATCAAGCTTGAAACAGATCTTATCTTATCTAATCTTCACCGGGTTTGAGAGGCGGCACCCTAGAGGTGGCCCACCCCTTTGTAGTCGGACTTTGTTAAATGATAAATGACCCGCACTTTTATAACGCCTCTCAGAGTAAGCACTCCAAAGCGCTTTACACTACAGTGTATCATTCATGCATTCACACACTGATGGTGATGAGCTACGATGTAGCCACAGCTGCCCTGGGGCGCACTGACAGAGGCGAGGCTGCTGAGCACTGGTGCCACAGGTCCCTCTGACCACCACCAGCAGGCAAGGTGGGTTAAGTGTCTTGCCCAAAGACACAACATTGTTGTGTCGTTGCCGCTGTAGAGCGGTTAGTTGTCGTTGATAAGCTTGCAGTGGGATAGATTAATCCAAGATAGCCTCTCAGCAATTTTCACAGCAGTGGGAGTAATGTGGAGTACTTCAAATGGACCTCTGGCTGCCCCATCTGTTTCGCTTCAGCACCTTCATCAGAACCCTATTTCCTGTTTCCTGTGGCGAAAAAGCACAAGAAATTCCGGGAGATCACTGTTGATTTTGAATTATTTTCAGCAACAATCGTCTAATATTTAAGGCAATTCCATCCAGGCAGTGTAATAATGTGAGGAAATCGTTATCAGCCTCCCCTCCTCTTGAGGCATGAGGCAACTCAGGGCTCACCAGAAACAAAACATGAACAAAAGGGGCCCGATACCGGCAAGCATTGCGCCAGCCCTAACGTGAAAAAAACACCCATCCCAAGGAACTTGCAATAACTAGTTCACGTCAGCAAGGGGCAGAGTCGTGCAACACAGTGTGCATAAAACATCAAAACAACCCAAAACAAACTAAACAACTAACAAAAAAGCCATGATCCGTGTAAAGAAAATTGAAAATAAACACAGAGTGATTTACATCACCTAGAAGTAACAGGAGAAATTGTAGTAAAAGGACTGATAGCCGAAATAATAACTAATAAAATCAAAAAGAATCAACCCATCTGGGAAAAAGGGTGAGCTAGTCAGCTTCCCCAAGCACATATCACAAAATAAAAATATCATAGACTCTGTGAGTTTGCTCTCATTATGCCAGAAACTTTCACCTCTAGTGACTTCTTAATTCAACCTCTTCGCTTCTAACACTGGAATTTACTAACAACTAAACCAGTCCTAATTGGAAAAATAAAATTTCAACTCCACATAGGTTCAGTAAGGTAAGGTTACTTCAGAGTACATCAACAATATGCAATGTCACTCAACAATGCTGCTCATATAATGTGTAAAATTTGTCAACAGGAGACAAATACTGCTAAATTAAAGCTCCAGAAGTGAAATTGGACAACAGAATTATCTAAGGAAAATAAAACTCATCTGTAACATAGAGACAGTGAAAGACCAAAAATAAAACAACTGATGGTGTTCTTAGATACACACAACCCTAAAGGTGTTTGAAAAGATTATAATCACTTCAGGAAGGGAAAAGACGTACTAAACAAAAGAAATAATTCATAATTGACTTCGTATAAAACGGATATACTACGGGAAACAAAGAAATGCATGAGTATGAACCCTAATTAGTTTAAAGGTCAATCAGAGGAGTATAACTAAGTGTGATCATATCAAAGCACAAAGAGGACTCAAATGCAGAGCTCACACAGTTTTAATAAGCAGAAGGGATTCCTGGAGTACAACACAACTGAAAAGTCCAAATCTAACTGAATACACTTTTGCCAAGTGTTTCTGAAAGCAGGTTCACATCACACAACGGGAGAAGACAAACTGGCAAAGGAAACTGTTGCAAAGACGCTTAAATGGAGAAGCCAGGACCCAGGTGCAAGACATGAGGCAGATTAGTGAGGAGCCTCATGTCGTGAAGCTGCCAGTAATGAGACAGGAAGTGAATGCACAAAATAAAACAGGAAGTACCAAAAATACAATAAAACCAGAAACAAGACTGCAAAGCACTCAACCTGCAGAATCACCCATGACAGATCATGTACAACCAAAGCACAAAACAACAAGAAATAAACAAAAATAAAAGAATGAAAAACGTAAAAACTACTAGATGCATATGTAATCAGGTGATTCTCAAAACAATGTGACCATCAAGGAACATCTGTCAGGTCATCATGCTACTGATCAAATCTAAGGGTCATTTAGGGCAAGTGTCATCTTATAATACTTGTCTAGCCAGCGCCGGCGCTCCGCACACGCACAGCGCGTAGGGCACCACGCCGGGGAAGGGGCACCAAACGCAAGCTTATGAAAAAAATAATATATATACGATAAAGACATATTTCAATTAGAAGATGTGCAAAGCAAGTTAACAGCATGTTTACAGAGAGAAAACAATACAAAAAGGAAAGGAGATGGACCGTGTCCACTTTTCACTCTCTGTCCGGGACGTCCGGACTGGTTCTTGTATTGATGAAAATGTCCGGCTTTTCATCCAGGAGCAGGGATCGAAATATGGGGGAGCTGTATATCCTACACATCCAGGGGAGCTGGAAAAAAGTTTTCTAACTATATGACATCATTTATGGACTCTTTGGAGCAGAGAGCACAGACAGCGACACAGCGCTGCGTTGTTGCGCAGTGCTCCAGGCAGCTGCTTCCAGTGCACAGTCCATTCTCAAAGTGGCTCAACCAAAATTAACACACGATCGTTCATGTCCGCTCATGTTCTCTACTTTCTGTCTTATTTGTGCCTGAAGCGCGCTCTGCTACTGCGGAGCTCATCACCTGCGCTGCGGTGATTTCACCTCACTGACGCAGCATTGAAACGCGCACTACGCTTTGCGGTCAGGAGATCCCATTGATCTGCTCAAAAGTAACTGATGAGGTGAAAAAGTAAGAACCCAGGCAGCAGGTTTTCTGGAGAGTTTAGATGAGATGCAGGAAGATGAGAGACAGACAGGACAGGAAAATAGTTCAATAAAAACAAGAAAACAAAACAAAGTGTTGAAAAGTAAAATGTAGGTAGATTTATCTCCACACGTTTTTACCTGTATAAAACAATAAGTTACACACATGCAATATTTATACATCTGATACAATTCAGATCACCTTCAAAACTCAGTCACACACCCAGGGCCATTTCAAGACATTTTGGGGGCCAAGGCAAAATGACACCCCCCCCCCCCCCCCCCACACACACACACTAAATATCAATCATACTTTTTGGAAAATAATAAGCAGTTTGTGCATACAAGAGAATTTAAGAGAATTTAAGGCGAAGCGCTCGCACATACTGTGTTATTGTGTTGTTTTTTTCTGTATGTGTGTGTGTGTGTGTGTGTGTGTGGGGGGGGGGGCACCACGAAGCCTTTGTGCTTAGGGCACCAAAATAGCTAGCAACAGCCCTGTGTCTAGCAATAACAAAACAATGATTAAGTCAAGGGCGAGAGCTGTACAATGAGCTGCTGCTCTGTCTTTGTTGAATTAAGAAGGTGATAAGAAAGTGGGAGCTTATCTGCTCAAAAGTAGAGGCAAAATAAAGATTTACCAAAAATAACAGAATTCACTAACCTACACAGAAGGAGTTCAATATTTAAGTACAGAAACAGTTAATTTAGAAGCGATATAGATTGGCTAACACAAGGTAGAGGTGATTACATAACTGCTATACTCTTCATAATTAGTAAAGGACTAGATTCTGATCATAAATCAATGCTCCTGAAGTCATGGACTCTAAATCAAGGTTTAGGTAACTTCAGTCATAAACAGGGAAATCTGTTTAGGAGATCAATTTGTCGGGAAAGTCTCAAGGTTATAAATGGGCTTGACTCATGGTTCGAGTGGTCCTCTTGGCCCTCAAGATGTCTAATGTCATAACATAATGTAAAAGAAGAAAAACCCTAACTCAAAAATCCATCTACCTACAATAGATTGTGCTTCTGAAGATATTGGGTGATCTCTAATGGTATTGATATAATGATTGTATTTAAGAATCTGCTCGAGGGAGCGAACCAAGTCATTCATAATCTGCTGTCTCATTCAATTCTGCTTCCAGACTGTTTCTCCCCACGTTCTGATCACAAAGCCCGCTAATCGGAGATTAGCGAACAAGTTCCTACATTGGTCACCTAGGATGCAGTTGATTGAGTCCATGATCAAGAATTGATAAACATAAGTTTTTCCATAACAGTCAGTAATTCAGCTGTAAAGTGAAACTAATAAATGAGACAGACTCATTACGTACAAACCAGATATTTCAAGCCCTTATTTGTTATTACTGTGAAGATTTACAGCTTATGAAAACCCCACATGCAAAATTTCAGACTGTTAAGATTATTACACGAAACAAACAAGGTTTTTAAGTAGACAAATGTCGGACATCTGAAAAAGTAGAATCGTGCATCTTGGTTTGGGCCCCTTTTGCTTTTACTGAATTGAACCAAATTTTGCACCATGTTCTAAGTTTTCAAGTTTGCTAAACTGCAGTTAACCACATGTGTTTGTGTTCTGTGTCTGATATGCTGCTGGGTGGTTTTTGACTCTTCAGTCGTGTTTCTCTATGATGTGAAGCTCATTAAGGACACACTTTTGGAGCTCTAATTCACAGTTTTTCACACCACCTTCAAGTAATTGGTTCAAACACTCAAATATACAGTCACCTAGTTTATGTTTACCTGTTTATGGTTGGCAGATATCACTATGTGTCTTTGTATAGTTTAGATGCGGTATAGGTAACAACAGGGCTATTCAATTCTGGGCCTTCAGGGCCGGTATCCAGCACGTTTTAGTGGTTTCTCTGCTCCAACACACTAGATTAAGTGGTTGAATCACCTGTGCAGCAGCTCACCAGGCTCTGCAGAAGCCTGTTAATCACCTGCTGATTGAAATCAGGAGTGTTTAAGCAGAGTTAAAACCAAAATGTGCTGGATACTGGACCTCGAGGCTTGGAATTGAATAGTCCTTTTCTACAGCTTGAAAGCAGCAAAACGTTGGTGCCACTTTTAATGACAGTACCTGAGGTTAGCTTTTCTGTGTCAGATGGGGCTGAAGCGGTGGTCCAGGCTGGAGTTGATCCTTATAGGCCTGTTTCTATTGATGACTGTGGCGGCCATCACTATGATCATAGTTTTTGTCACAGAAGAACCTGGGGTCATTAAAGATGGTAAGTGAATTAACTATATAACTAATATAGCTTTATGATAAAAGACATTTCCTAAAAACAACAAGCAAACAGACAACCCATGAAGCATTTCCCCGTCAGAACTCACTGTAAACCAAACATGTTACATGGCTGTTATAACCCTGAGAGTCACATGATAAAACCAGACTGAGGATGTTTTTATTTGTTTGCCAACGCTTAAATAATTACTCAGAATTTGGCTGAAAAAGGAAAGAAAAGTGGTTTTCATCCATCACAAGAAGCAACTGAGTCAATCTACTGTATTGATGTCATTGTTCACGTGAATGTAAATTAAACCAGCCAACATACTGTACATGTGTACTCTGTTTAAAACAGCCCTTTTATTGACTTTTGATGTTATTTCTTTGTTTTAAGCAGAATTCCCCTCTGGTGCATTTGTTCCCAAGTGTCCCAGCATATCCCTGGATCAGAGAATAGACTGTTTTCCTGATGCTGGAGCCTCAAAGGTATCGGCCGACCTAATCTACCCGCTCTGCCTCCTGAGCTACCGCTCTCCCACGTTTAAACTGTAGCTGTATTTTTTTTTAAACATTTAAGTTTTACTGATCGCTTTGTCAGGAGAAAGCTATGACACAAATGCTAATACTGACTGTGATGACGACAGCAGCATCTTCCAATCTGAACAGATGAAATGTGAGCAGCGTGGCTGTTGTTGGAGTCCTCTGGATGAGAGAAATGTCCCCTGGTGTTTCTTCTCAACCAACCAGGGATACACAGTGGAACATCTGGAACATCCAAACCCTTTTGGTAAACAGGACATTCTCCAAAAATAAACCAATGTACTGAGCTATACTAACAAAGCCTGATGTCATCATGAAAATTACGCAGAAGTGTTTTGTGGCGAAGTACTTTTTATGAAATTTGTGTTTGGGTGTTTTTAAATGTACATGTTCATCTTTCTATCCTACAGCTTCAGCTCTTTTTTGATTGTTCTGCTTTATTTTGCAGTAATAAATGTCCAGCTGAAGAGAATGGCCGCTCCCTCTTTATTTGGTGCAGACATAGAGCAGCTGACCTTTCATGCTGAAATGCAAACAAAAAATCGACTTCGACTTAAGGTGAACATAGGCTGACACGAGTGTTGTCTTTTAAAATCAAACACAAATATCTTTATAAAAGATATAAAGTAGGGCTGTCAAACAGTTAAACATTTTAATCTAATTAATCACAATTAAGGTTGCCACCTTACCGTGGTGGAGGGGTTTGAATGTCCCATTGATCCTAGGAGCTAAGTTGTCTGAGGCTTAACGCCTCTGGTAGGATCACCCATAGCAAGCAGATACTAGGTGCAGCCCAAAGATCCTCTATGAGGATAAACATAAATGGAAACCGTGCTCCCTTGCCCAGTCGTGGGTCACCAAGACCCCCGTCTGGAGCCAGGCTTGCAGGTGGGGCATGTTGGCGAGCGCCTGGCACAGACCAAAGAGGAGACGCGGGTCCCCCTTTCAATGGGCTCACTACTCATAAGAGGAGCCAAAGGGGTTGGGTGCATTGTGTGTTGGGTGGTAGCTGAAGGTGGGGACCTTGGCGGTCTGATCCTTGGCTACAGAAGCTGGTTGTCAGTACGTGGAATGTCGCCTCTCTAGTGGGAAAAAAGCCAGAGTTGGTGTGTGAGGTTGAGAGGTTCCAACTAGATATAGTTGGACTCACCTCAACACATGGCTCTGGCCCTGGAACCAGCTTTCTTGAGAGATGTTGGATTTTCTGCCACTCAGGAGTTGCTCCCACTGAGAGGCGCCAAGCAGGGGTGGGCAAACTAGTTGCCCCCATCTTGGTGCCTGTACGTTGGGGTTTACTCCAGTGAATGAGAGGGTAGCCCCCTTCCGCTTAAGTGTGGGGGGATGGGTCCTGACTGTTGTCGGTGCTTATGCACCAAACTACAGCTCAGACTACCCACTCCTTTTGGAGACCTTGGAAGGGTGCTGGAGAGCACTCCTTCTGGTGACTCCCTCATTCTGCTGGGGGACTTTAACGCTCACATGGGCAACGACAGTGAGACCTGGAGAGGTGTGGTGGGGAGGAATGGACCCCTGATCTGAATTGGAGCAGCGTTTTGTTATTGGACTTCTGTGCACATCATGGATTGTCCATAACAAACACCATGTTCAAGCATAAAGGTGTCCATATGTGCTCTTGGTACCAGGATACCTTAGGTCGCAGTGCGATGATGGACTTTGTCATCATTTCATCTGATCTGCTGCCACATGTCTTGGACACTCAGGTGAAGAAAGGGGTGGAGCTGTCAACTGACCACTACCTGGTGGTGAGTTGGCTTCAGTGGTGGGGGAGGATGTCGATCAGACCCGGCATCCTAATGTATTGTGAGGGTCTGCTTGGAAGGTCTGGTGGAGTTTCCTGTTTGAAGGAGCTTCAATTCCCACTTCAGACAGAACTTCGAACCCGGGGCCCAAGGGAAGACCCAAGGACTATGTCTCTCAGCTGGCCAGGGAACACCTTGGGATTCCCCCTGAGGAGCTGGCCCAAGAAGTTTGGGAGAGGGAAATCTGGGCCTCTCTTGGTGCCCCCGCGATCCGACTCCAGGTCAGCGGCTGAAAATGGATGGATAATCACAAGTTAGTTGTGAATTAATTTTGATCAATTGACATTATTAAAGATAACGAAAACATTCCCATTTTCTGTGTAAACAACAGACAAAAATTAAATATGATTTATTTTTCACAGATGCAAAAAATGTTATTGAGACTGAAAAATAACATGAGCTCAATCATAAAACCCAAATTTATGCCTCCTGTGCATAGAGAATACAGAAAGGTTTTATTCACATCTTTTTAGTCTTACTAAAAGATGCGTATCCCATATTATTTTTTTCATAATATTTAAAAACACAAATTGATTCCTTACCTGCAGGTCTCTAGAAGTGTGCTCAGTTTCTGCAGCCTCTGGTGGTGTCAGCATACCCAGCTTTTGACATTTTTCCAGCTTTGCTTTTATTGCAGCTTGTTTGCGGTTCAGACGCTCGATTATTTCCAGGGTGGAATTCCATCATGTGGAGACATCTTGGATCAGTGGCTCCTGCTGTTGTTCCAGAGGCTTGTTGTGCTTGAAGCTCTTTGGCATTTGCTGCACTGTGTCTGAAGTGGCTAATAAATTTGCGACAGTTGGCCAACACATTGACAATTTCACTATCATAAAGACTCACAATGATGCTTCTCTGTATGTGAGTGACGCAGGGCATGTGCTCACCAGCGTCTCCTTTGAGTCCACCATGTTGTTTACACAACAAGCACTGAACGCCACACGGGTTGGATTGTTGGAAAAATCGGGGGTGTTATTTGTGCACGCGTCAATGCATGCAAAATTGTTGTGCATTAATTCTACAAATGACTCGACCCCCGTTAATGCAGCCCTAATCTGAAATCTCCCTAGATTAAAGTTTGTTTACCTGATGAATCATTTTTTCCTCACAGATCTTTGATGCCAAAAACGGGAGGTTTGAGGTGCCTCATGTGCACATCCGTACTGTCAGCAGTAACCCATCCAGCCCCATCACCAACACTCTGGACATCGCGCACAACCCCTTTGGCCTCACTGTGCGCAGAAAGGAGAACAGAAGGGCCCTGTGAGTGTTTACTGTGTGCGATATTTGTATTTATGCTCATTATAACCAGGGTTGTTGTTGCTGTTGTTAGGAAAGTAACAAACAGAAAATACTAAAAAGGTGATTCTTTATGTACTAGTTAAAATATTTTTTTCACCACACTACAAGCTGTACATGTAAAACAAACAAAGTGGTTGAACCTTCAGAGCGAGATGGAGGTCCTTTATTGGTTATAGTTTGATACAGTGTGATGCAAGATACATGATATAAATATTATAACAATGTGATACTAAGCAGTATATTATATTTTACTGTGTGGTTTGTAATGATATGATGTTTTGTGATGTTTTGCCATTCTATTTTAAAATTTGCATGTACATAGAGAATGTGTTCACTTTACACAGAGAGGTCCCAGCCAGGAATCAAACCCAGCACAAACCAGCCGGATCGTTGTGCCGGAGTTTGTGGACTTAAGCACAATGACAATGCAGTTTAAACCAAGACTCTGGTTGATTCTGTTCCTTTCAGGTTTGACACCACAATAGGCCCACTGGTGTTTGCAGACCAGTACCTCCAGCTGTCTGCTAAGCTTCCATCCCATAATATATTTGGTCTGGGAGAGCATGTGCATACACGATATCGCCATGACACAAACTGGAGAACCTGGCCCATTTTCACAAGAGATACCCAACCAAATGGGGTACACACACATGCATGCACACACACACACACATGCATGCATGCACACTAATTATTGATAAGAGCATGTGCTGAAAATCATATTTACTGAAGTCTACCTCGGTGTGATTTATGTGTGCACGGCTTAAGTATCGTGTTCATTAACAAACCGTGTAACGCTTGTTCTTTTTTAAATGTGATCAGTTACCCTGAGTTTCATGCTGACTGTGAAACATTTCTTCAGCCCGTACTACCAGCATTAGCTGCAGAAAAGAAAGAAAACCGTCTCTTCTACGTCACAGGGAAAATTAGTTCATGGCCTTGACCTTAACTTGGAACTGCCCATGGGAAGGCTGAGAGGCCCGGAGAGAGCAACGCTCATATCTGCTAGTAGAAGCTAACCAATAGCAACTCCACAACATCGGAAAACACACAGTGAAGATAACACATGTAGCATTTTTACCAAAGAAAGAAGAGCAGAAGAAGACATGGTTGATTTTTTTGTTTTGTTTTGGAAGTATCAGAATCACGTTGCTGTTAACCAATCAGAGGCAAGACGTTTGCTTATCGTAAAAATTAATAAGTAAGTCTTGTAATCTCGTGGTTTACAAACAAACTACTTCTCCAATAAACTTTAACAGATTGCAACAGGAGCATCAGAGTTTTTTCCTCCCACAGAAAACACCTCAAAATGCATTCATTCACACCAGAGACCACAGCAAACAAATGAACAAATCCTTTAAATGCCATGTCTGTTTACATATTTGTAAGCATTCTCCTCAAAAGGCATAACTTTACACCAGATCAGTAACTTTTGTTCCAATCTCTTCATTCATCTCCTTCCCTTCAGAGAGCAAATAACCTGTACGGACATCATCCCTTCTTCCTCTGTCTGGAGGATGAGAGCGGAAAGTCCTTTGGGGTTTTTCTCCTGAACAGCAACGCCATGGGTAAAGATAAACAATCACACACTGATGTGTTTCACTGTCCTTAAGGTGTTTGTGTAAACATCCAGTTAAAATAAGACAGCAGAGTATTTAAAACATTTGTAATGAGTTGCTGCAGAATGATAGGTACATACATCTGAACGTTCAGTTTCATCCAAGATTGCTCACTTAACCTTCATGGCCGTTATCCTTTTAGAGGTTGCCAGAATGCAGATTTAGTCTAATCTAAAAAGAGAATAAATCCTTCAAAAATGACCCTCCTGCACACAAAGTTCAGTCTGCTATCCTAAAATCCAAAATACTTTTTCATTTAACTAAGTTGATGGATGAAATTAACGCCTGAACAAGTAAACTAATGTTCACTGTTACATTTTTTTATTCTTATTAAAGCATTTGTTAATGCAACAGTATTCGTGTTAACACACAGAACCGTGTTATGTTAGAGGTGACTCTGCAGCCTGCTCCAGCTGTGACCTACAGGACCATCGGAGGGATCTTTGACTTCTACATCTTCTTTGGAGATACGCCAGAACAAGTGGTTCAAGAGTACCTTGAGGTGAATTCCTCTCAAATCTAAAAGAACATGTTTGTATGTGTGTGTTGCAGTACAATCATTTGTGTTAGCTAGGTTTTGCAGTAACAGCACTGAGATTGTACCCATTTATGTTCTCCAGCTAATCGGCCGGCCGGTCATTCCTCCCTACTGGTCAATGGGATTCCAGCTTTCTCGGTGGAACTACGGGAACCTGAGTGAAGTCAAGAGAGTAGTGGAGAGGAACCGCGCTGTGGGTCTCCCATATGTAAGAACTATTCAGTGGAGATATTCAGCTGTATCCAGTCGTGGTCATGTAGCCATTGTTTCAGGTTTAAAATGATTCTCAGTATAACTCTTGGATGGACGATGGATTATTGAGTCCTTTTTAGAATGGTGGATCCGGTTAAAGAAGGTTAAATCAGATGTATAGAAGTAGGAAAACTAAAACGCCCCAGTTTCGCCCGAGGAACTGATCTAAACCCATGATGTCTGACCCCTTCTTTCCACCGGAGCCGTCAGCAGCACGTCATAGCTGCTGATAGGAACTGCTGTGGTCAACAGAACCTTTTCCACCGGAGACGTCAGCAGCGCGAGTCGGCCGCATCTCAGGAGCAGCATGTCGCGGCCTTTACGCGCCAATTCTATTTTCTACGCGCTACGCCTCTGAAACGGGTCGAGTTCGACATTTTTGGGGAAGGAAAGACAGGAAATCGGATGCGGAAATGGAACGAAGCTCCCGAGATTTTCAGAATGAAGAAACGTACTGCCTTTCGGGTCGCTTTACTTAAAAAAAAAGGTTACTAACTGTGCGGCCCCGTGAGAAGTTATCACCCAGCTAGCGGTCTCCTTTGTTTTTCAGGTCCGTATTGGCGATTATAAAACGGACAGAACATAAAACACAAACCTTTTGGAGCCATGTTGTAATTTTCTCCTGCTTGTTGTTGTGTTTACTGACAAAGTCACTCGTGTGACTTCGTGCTCTGTCGGTGGCTGCTGCTTCGCGTCTCGTGGGAAGGGCCAAGCAGCAGCTTACGCGAGCAAGACATGCTGTTGCAGTAACGCTCAATTATGTGATCGCATACCCCTCAGAAAGTGTGTAGCTGTGCCCCTGCCTGTGGGTGAGGTGGAGAAATGAAAGGAAGTGCTTTTGCAAAACAAATAACAGATAATCCACGGAGTGGCAGCGTTGCTGAAGCCGTCAATGTTGTGAATTCTTCAGAGAGATCTGTGGCGGATATAAAAAAAATGGTCCAATCAGGATTTAATCCCCAGACTCACAGGTGAAAGTCATGTGTGCTAACCAGTTAGCCAAACAGAGATCTTCCCTGCTTGATTAGCCAGGGCACATGATCAATGGGGCAGTGACAGGACACACACTGTCACAGACGCATGACATTCTGTCTCAATCTGTACCCCTGCTGATATTCTGCATTCTGTATTCTGCGCTTCAGGCTGTGTGTGTGCGCGTGCGTGTGTGTGTGTGTGAGTGTGCGCACATGTGTGTATACGTGCGCACGTGTGTGCGTGTGGGGGGTCTTGTTCTGTGTGAAAACGAAGCAGTACAAGTGATAATGCTGCAGGATTTCATAATGTTATCCTTCTCAGCAGCAGCACTGCAGGTGCTCTCCATGTCCAAAATGTGCGTAAGCCAGGTCCTTAGTCAACTTAAAGTTGCGCACATTTTTCCACTAAGTTTTCTTTCATAAACTCCAAAGTTTGCGTGGAAAGTTGCTTACACAGTTTTCCGACCCCGTTTTGTGCATAAGCAAGCTTGATAAATGAAGCCCCAGGGCTTGATCTCTGGGCTTTAACTTTGGCTCAAATTTTATTGAAACTTTCCAAAAGTCATTTTTGGGTGTTCATCTACAACTGATTAACTTGTTAAGCTGTTTCAGGGTGGTAGAAACAGATTCAACAATAGCAGACACAAAATGACTGTAATCCAGTCAATCGTTCATGACACAAACCTTTAGCTCTAACCATGGACGTAACTTTTCCAGGGGATGCGGGGGGGACATGTCCCCTTCCCTTGTTCTTGAGGCAGCTTGGATCCGTTCATGATTTCAACTTATTTTTACTGAGTTGAAGTAGACTGTTATGCTATTTTAATGAAGTCTGGTGACCAGGCATTCTCCAGATTTGTGTCTCCAACAGTCAAATGTTGAGACATCACACACCAGTTCATCCCTTGCTGATCTGACTCTTAGAAATGAGTTGATTTTGTTTTAAGAAGCTTTTATTCTCCACACTCAGGATATTCAGTACACTGACATCGACTACATGGAGCACATGAAAGATTTCACCTACGACCCAGTCCGGTTCAAGGAGCTGCCTGAGTTTGCTGAATACCTCCATGAGAAGGGACAGAAGTACATCCTTATCCTGGTGAGAAGTGCTTCTTTGTTCAAACCGTTCAAACACATGAGGATTTCCAGGCTTTGGAGCACTGCTACTTCCTCTTTTAGACATCATCTCAGTTTTATGTTTGTTATTTGTGACAAGGAAGGCATAATGAATAAATATAAAGGCAAGTAGAAGTAAACATTCCAATAATGACCCATTTAATGTGTGAAATACATTGTGTTTATAGGTTTTTGGTTGAAAATTCATCTCAGAATATCATAATATGATTTCACCAGGATAAGCGGATAAAAATGGATGGATGGATTTCACCAGGAACACGACTGTCATAACAACGTGTCCAAATAACCTCTTGTCACCCCCTCTAGGAAATACACCGCACCATAGTATTTCATTCAGTGGTTGATTTGTTGCACAACAGCACTCAATTAACACTGAATCTGCCATCGAACCGCATTCATAATTAACATGCATTAACATTACACTAACTGTAAAGTGTAAACTATAAATAAATATAATGTAGCACAAACAGAAATAAATGTGCCTCGCTGACTGCATACAACCAAGAGGGAATAAATCAACTTGTAAACAAAATAGTCAAAACAAACAAACAACAGCACCTTGAAATCAGCTTTTCTTAACTAATATTAGCTACCAATGTGACTTCTTAAAGGAAAAAAGGTGTGCAACAGCTAAATATGTTCCAGCGCAATATAGATGCTACAAATTACTTCCTACCAAATATTCCTGCAGAAAAACAAATAATGTGTAAATACAATATTTTAAACTGACATGCCAACATAAATAATGCAGCTAAAACCTATAACAAAACAGCAATGCACTCTAGCTTGAAGTTGTTTTTATTATTATTTCTGTGACTTGTTTCCTTTTTTGCTAGGATCCTGCAATAGCCACCAGTAGGAGGGTGGGGGGTGCTCCATATGAGTCTTATGACCGTGGGATGGAAAAGAACGTCTGGGTCACAAAATCAGATGGAAGAACTCCTATAGTTGGACGGGTGAGCTGCGAAAGACAAACACAGAGTACAACTTCATACTATCATCTGCTCATACAATGATACCAACTTTACACCAACAAGCACTTAAAATGTTTTTTAAAAATGTTAAAAGTTTTGTTCACTTTTCCTCACTCATAGGTTTGGCCAGGCGAGACTGTGTTTCCAGATTTCACAAGTGAGACCTGCATTGATTGGTGGGTCGATGAATACGAACGTTTCTACAGGGAGATCAAACATGATGCCCTCTGGATTGTAAGGCAGTTTAGAAATCATAAAGCAAACTCAGTAATCAATAGAATCCGATCCACACACACACACACACACACACACACGCACGCACGCACGCGCACGCACACACACACACACACACACACACACACACACACACACACACACACACACACACACAGACACACACACACACACACTGGGAAGTAGACCAGACCAGATTCATAACTTATTGTCTTCAACTCAGGCTCACGTAAATCAAACTTCAATTTTCAAACTTTGATCAGTCCACATTATTTTATTAATTGAAGACAAATTAATAATAATAATCATATTGGAAGCGAAGGCTGATTTTTTTCAGCCAATCTCAATATTAAACAAATCCTGAACAGTCAAGCCTATCTGTGTTTACTCACTGCATGTTATGATAAGTTGTGTTTTTGGACGTTGCAGGACATGAACGAGGTGTCTAATTTTTTAAAAGGATCAACCACCGGCTGTGAGGACAACAAACTCAACTACCCACCTTACACACCAAGTGAGATGTTCTTCTTTATTTTAAGGCCAAATCATGTGAAATAAACAGGTAATATTTTGTAGTTTTGATTGAAATTGTTTTGATTTGCTGTGATTCCCTTTTTGAGTTTTGATTTAAATGGTTTTAGTAAACGTGTCAGAGTCAAAACTTCCAAATTCTAAATGCACTGTTTGTGCTACTTTAATATCACATCCATGCATGTAAGATGGTGTTATAAGTGTCTCACCAAAAGGTTCAAAGGTTTCACAATAACTCATTTTATGTTAGAAAAAATGGAGCAAACCTTTTGAAGGAGAACTTGTATTCAAGCAGCGTCCAGAGGATCACGCTCTACTGATGCTTATCTTTGTGACGTCTCTCATTTGCCATTCATGGTCTCTACCTCTGCCGTCTCTCATTTTTTTCTGCTTTCAGGCCCATCTCCTTACTTCTTGTACCTTTTCTCTCCCTCCAGAGATTCTGAATGAGCTCCTCTACAGTATGACTCTTTGTATGGATGCCAAACAGGATTGGGGGAACAACTATGATGTCCACAGCTTGTACGGCTATTCTATGGTTCTGGCTACAGAAAAGTGAGTGCATCCATGATGGTGATGTGTAGGGATGTCGGATATTATTGATCTACCATTAATATCATCCGACATCAACATTCAAATTTAATATCGGAAAAATAATTATCAGATACCTGTGTGGTGACAAACAACTAAAGCAAAACCAAAAATCTTCACCCTAGGCTTGCTTTTCTTATCTGAAGATATTTATAAATGTTTTATCACCATAGCTGCAATATACAGAAAAAGATGAAATACATTACTAACTAATACACACATCTTAGCATCATGAGAATGAGATTAAACTGCTATTGGAGTCAAAATAAATATGGCACTTTTTCTTTTAACTTAATTTTTTGTCTTTTTTTACAGAAAAGTGTTAAGTTAGTAACCTAAATGTTTATTTTTTCTGTTTCTATGAGAGGAGACCACAAGTTTGTATCAGTGTCAGTTTATATCGATATCAGAAATCAAGAGTCGACAACATCGTATATTGGATATCAATACAAAAAGCCAATATTGATCATCCCTATAATATGTAAACGTCAAGTTCCTTCCATGAGGAGCCACCAGAGACAAAATTCTAAATTACCTCCTACACACACGTGAAAATGTCTCATACACACATATGAAAACCTCTCAAACACTTATGTAAAAACCTCTTTTTCTTCTGCTGTGAAGCAATCAGAATTGATGTCTGAATGCCGAAGACAAGCCTTACAGTTTTATTCTCAAAGGTGGAGAGTTATGGCTTCTGCTACTATGCCACGCCTGACACCAAAACTTTATGAGAAACATTTTTGGTTGTTTAAAATCCCAACGGACACGGAGACAGAAGTGTAAGAGAAAGGGGGAGAGAGAGAAGGAAAAGGTGGGGGAGGGGGGTTCACAAAAATTAACAATAAATGATGAGCAAGAATCTGCTTCAAGACCTGCAGAACGAGAGAGAAAAAAAAGGGGACACAACTCTGCTTCTTGGTCTGGACCCTGGGTTGTCATGGAGGACTAATAAAATTGGCCATGTTCCTAGAAAGAAGAGCTGCTCCATCCAAAGAGGGGTGGATGCCGTCTCTTTGCATCAGACCAGGTTTTCCCCCAAATTTTTCCAATTATGAGTGTAAGTAGCCACGGCTATCTACGGGCTTTTTAACAGCGCGGCGCCGGGCCTCCAAATCCGACACCCTTGCCTCCAAAGCTACAAAAATGCTACATTTATTACATGTACTATATTACTAAAGGAGGCAGAGGAGTAACTAAACATCTGACACAGAGAGCAAGAGATAGCAGATGGAGAAGCAGAGACAGAAGTAGCCATAGAACTAAACAAACACGGATCGTAAACATGAACGTGAACGGGATCGGCTTGGATTTTACTTCGTCGGAGTTTACTTCACACTTTAAAACCGAAGAAATCGTTTTATATAGTCAGAAATTAAATAGACTAAACATCTCTGACCCTTACCGTGCCCCTGGGATACTTTTTAAAAACGCCAGAAGCTGTCGGAGCGGACTTCTTACCGGACCTGGCCGGGGAACCCCTTGGGATTTCCCCGGAGGAGCTGGCTCAGGCGGCTGGGGAGAGGGAAGTCTGGGCCTCTCGACGCTACTGCCCCCGCAACCCGACTCTGGATGAGCGGATGAAAATGGATGGATGGACAAATAATAGATTTACATGTAAGTAGTTTAAATAGAGTGCTGTGCTGTTTGAATGTATAAACTGAACGCCAAGAGAAATCACTAGTCTGATTGTTTTCCGTGAATAAAATAAAAATGTCAGGCAGGAGCGTCTCAGGATCTGTCTGAGATCTGTCTCGGTGAGACAGATAATAGCAATCCAAAGTGCTTTTTATGTGTGATCTGACAATTGATCAACCATTGCTTAAAAATTAAATACAGCTTAGCCGGTTAATTGCTGTGATCATAAAACACGTAAACAGCAGCACGCAGAACTCACGAGGCAACGTTTTACGTGATGTTTACTTGTTGCTATGAGTAATAAGACAGAAAAAGCCACGCCAAAATAAGTTTAGGAAGCCCACTAAGAATCGTAATAAAAGCATTTAAAATAAATACCATACACAGTTGAGGAAACGTTGGTTTGTACCTGATATGAAGCGGTCGCTGCATAAGCGAAAACCTTTACTCTCGGGATCCCAGTTTCATTTCAGCCCGGTCACTAGTGCGTTTTATTACAATGATCCAATGTTTGCGGCGCTCCGGATTTTGGGGAATCCTGTAGAAGGCTCATTCCCTATGTCGTCCGCGTCTGTTCTGCATCCTGGGGCACAACAGGAATCTACCATATTTCCTGTTTGATTGAGTTTTCTGACAATAACAAATAGTCCAGCTGCCGGCTTCTACCTGCCAAGATGGCGCCATTTCGATTTGAAATGTTGCATGCCGGGAGAAGTGACGTCAACTCCCGGAGCTCTATAGCCACGCCAAGGCTAAGCTAATTGGGCGAGCAACCCTTTCAACACCAAATAAACTGTGTACAAACTCAGATGGTTCCCTAAAGGGGGATGTACACATGTTAAAAACTCTCACACACAGATGTGAAACACTGTTATAAACCTTTTACATACACGAGAAACCCTCTCATACACAAATATAAAAAGAAAACCAATTAACTCAATTGTTACATGAACCCTTCCTCTTTTACAGAGCTCTGCAGCGTGTATTCGGATCCAACCGTACCATGATGCTGACACGTTCCTCCTTCCCAGGTGTGGGAAAGTATTCAGGGCACTGGTTGGGAGACAATACTGCCACTTGGAACGACATCAAGTGGGCCATTCATGGAATGTTGGAGTTTGGGCTTTTCGGAATTCCTTATGTGAGTGCTGTTCCTGCTTACTTAGCTGCTCTGAGAACTACTTTGTTACTGCTAGAATGTTGAGGGTTGGATTCCTGGCTTGAGGCTGAATATAGCATCATCGTCACATCCATTCAAGTGTTGTTGTTTTTTTTTTTTACATTGTCATTCAAGTTCCTACCCACCCTCCCAAATCATGCTGCGTCTAAAGACTACGTTGACTTGAGATTAGGTCTCATAGTGGACATAGGTCCTGTTTTTAAAAGATAGCATTATTTCATTCAAAAAAAAAAAAAAAAAAAAATATATATATATATATATATATATATAAAGCATGAAAACAAGCAGATAACACAACCAAGAATGAAAAGGAGCAGAACAAATAGATATGTCTTATAAATCTCTGTCCCTTTTTAAAAAATAAAATAAAATGAAATAAAAATAAAACAAAGCAACAGTGTTTAAATGCTAGAAAGGCTTTGGATTGGAGTTTGATCCATTTTATAGCCCAAAACCCATAAAGTCATTTAAACCTAAATTGAAATATATTAAATGCAGAATGATCAGTGCCAACAAAAGGAAAAGAGAGAGAGAAAAAAAGAAAGAAAAAAATTATATTCATATACACATTTGCTATTCACACTTATAAATCCTAAAAAAACAAATGACTGACATAGCCCCATAATGACTCTAATTGTATTAATTACACTAATTACTAATTATTATTTATACATTTTTTATGTGTTTCAATTACAAAATATTTTCTCTTATATTTAAATTTACCAATATTTTGACATTTTTCATATCATTACTACAGTTATTCCATAACTGGACTCCCCATGTTGAAATACAATGAAGTTTGGCATTAGTTCGTCCTCAGTTTAGATTCATGCTTTTTCTCATCAAATGTACCCAGATTGACAAATATAACAGTAGGATATTGAAAGTCAGCATCGTTTGAGTTTATTACTCTCAGTTCGTCAAATCACTCCAGGTTTATTTGTTACAACAACCTTCAGGTGCAAATGTCAACCTGTCATTGTGTGTTTCAGATAGGAGCGGACATCTGCGGATTCTTTGGAGACTCAAGTGAGGAGTTGTGTCGTCGCTGGATGCAGGTTGGAGCTTTCTACCCCTTCAGTCGAAACCACAACGCTATGAACTTCAAGGTACCACACAGAAACTGCATCCTATGGTCTTAAGATAAACTTAGACTCAGGGCAGACTCATGCTTTAAAGCAGGGGTGTCAAAGATGCGGCCCGTGGGCCGGATCTGGTCCGCAAGCTGGTTTATTCCGGCCCGTGAGATGGTTGTGTAAACTTTATTTTCATACTTTACAATGTAGAGTGAAAATAAACGTATCTTTGTGAGCAAGTTTCCTCTGTAATGAGTATAAATAAAACAAAGCTGCACTCAAGGCTCACACAAGAACTTGAATCACATCTTGAAGTTGGCCGCCACTCAGGATGTGACTTCTGATATTGATGTGCTGGTGAAAGCTAAAAGATGTAAAGTAAAATGAGTCAAATATACTTTAAGTGCTGCATGAAACTGATCTTGCCATGTGATCTGTAAGCTCTTTGAATCACTAAGGAATGTTTATTTATTGATTTTTTTTTTCAAATTTTCAAGTACACTTCAGGTGTTGTACTTGTACTACACTGTCCTCAAGCTCCAGCCTTGTTTTATATTGATTAAATTAAAACAAAGAAAACAATCTGAAGTTTTTTTTTTTTATTTACCGGTCCGGCCCACCTGGGACTAGATTTCCCTCAATGTGGCCCCTGAGCTAAAATGAGTTTGACACTCCTGCTTTAAAGCTTCTTTCCGGAGTATTTCTCTTATCTATGGCACCATCTAGTGGCTGACACGCGTATCACACAAAATCACTGTTCCTCTGTTTTTTTATGATGGCGACTTCACGTTTCTGTTCATAAATATTCTTCTGTAGCCGACAAACAGAGAAAAAACACGTTGTTTTACGAGTATTATTCTCATCTCATGTTGTGTTTTCATATATTTATATTTTAGAGACTTTCTTGTCCATGAAAAGTTCATCAACTATGCATCAGCCGAGGTATTCCTTAAATTTGAAGCGTCTAAGTGGTAGTCTAATGCTATTGGTCAGTTCTGGTCGGCGTTCAGTTTCCTATTGCACGGAGCTCTGCCGGGCAGGCGGCGTGCTTGGCAAAAAATAAATAAATAAATAAAGACGTATTGCTTACATTATATCACAGTACATTATAATCACTTTTACTGATTTCTGACAAACCATACATAATTTCTGAAAGAGGAAAACTCCGGAAAGCAGCTTTAATGGTTCCTGTTTCCCTCCAAAATGCTACAAGATCAATGTGATCACATTGTTTAACACATTTTACTCAATTTAGCATTAATGGTTAAAAAACCGACAGAATTTAAAATGTTGGTTCCACTTATTTTCCATTTTCACAATTTTTCTTTTGATGATGTTTTTTCTGTGTCCAGCCACAGGATCCAGCTGCATTTGGGGCTGACTCAGTACTGGTGAAAACCTCCAAACATTACCTCAGGATCCGCTACACACTCCTGCCCTACCTCTACACACTCTTCTACAAGGCCCACACCACAGGGGAGACCGTGGTACGGCCTGTGCTGCATGAGTGAGTCCTTTTGATACAACTTCCCACTGATGCGTTAGGCTTTCTTTAAAAAAAAAAGTATAATTCTGGTCTTCAACTTTTGCTTATCGTAAATTTTCTGTTGTTTTTGTTTTCTGCATATGAACAGAACCTGAAACCAAAGGATTATAAGATGTGTTGTAGCATGACCAATTATGTACATACAATTTCTATAGAATTATTTCACAGTTTTGAGACTTGTTTACACTTCAAATGACTGTGCTGTAAAGTGCCTTGGGGGGTTCTAGGACTACTTGGTTCTTACTTCCTGGACATGGCATCACATCTTCATCCTGAAGTTATTATAGTTCCCTAACTAACCCTAACCCTAAAATGAAAGAAAAAAAAGCTTTGGAGAAAATTTCCAACAGTCCAAATTAAACAAATTGTTAATGTTTTGTTAATCTAGCTTTGTTGTTCATTATAAATAATCATCTTTAGAAATGAGTCGGGGATGTTTATAGCTGTCGGTTGGGTTTTGAATAGTTAATGATCAGGACAATAATCATGATGCTTGTTTTTGAGGTTCTACTCTGATAGAGCCACCTGGGACGTGGACCTCCAGTTTCTCTGGGGGAAACACCTGCTCATCACACCAGTGCTGGATCCGGTCTGTGTGCACTCAAACAATAATATTAATATTAATCAAATAGTAAAAAATTAGGATTTTATATTACTGATCAATGTTTCATCCAACTTTGTCTTTTTAAAATGTAATTCTTCTTTTGATCATGACTGTTTACAGGTACAGATATTATTGACTGATAACCCAGTTCCTGTTTGTCTTTTAGAACATCATCATCTTTAGTAACAGATCTGCTCCACACCTCAAAGGACAAAAAACTATATTAATAATTAATATTTTGCAGATCATAAAAATATTTTCTATGTTTTCCTTATAAAAGTCTTTGTGGTAGTTGATGAAATAATCTGCGTTTCCTTTATTCCTACTTACCACTTGTGACATTAAAACATTGGGATTACAAAGGAGAGCTAAATTATGTATTTTTGATCACAGACACCAATATGCCTTTGGAAAAACCATGAGGATAAAACATTCTGATGTCTACGCGACCAAAAGATCACATTCTGTAGTGTTTATGGATCACAGGCATACCCATTTAAAACATTGTCCTTGTTTTGTGCAGGGTGTGGACACAATCAGGGTTTACATACCAGATGCTGTGTGGTATGACTATGAGACGGTAAGAGCCTTCCTTAGTCTTTTAACTGTTTTGGAAATACCTCATCACATCTGCAGACCAGACCCAAATGCATGAACTCAATCAGCAGAACATTTATAATCGAAACTCATTCAGCTCTAACCGGTACTTGTGGAGAAACTGTTGCAAAGACTAAAAAAAAAAAAACTGCAAGTCTTAAAAGCTTCTCTTTTAGTTTGCCTACTCATAGATGTCTGTGACTTATCTTCTCAACGTTAAACAGCAGAGATGAACAAACTTACTTATTGAGAATATTAATTTGTCTGATAAATTAGATGGAACGATTGACAGATCGCAGAAAGCATGTTGATATGTATCTACCAGCTGACAAGCTTGGATTACACATCAGAGGTGGTGCTGTCCTCCCCACACAGAGACCTGAAGTCACTACTACACACAGGTACACACACACACACACACACACACACACACACACACACACACACACACACACACACACACACACACACACACACACACACACTGTACCTTTGTAAGTATTTGTGCACAGATGTGTTTGTTGGTCATGTTGTTGTCCACTTCTGTAGTCGTAGCAACCCCATGGGGTTGGTCATCGCTCTTGACGACAACAACCAGGCAGCTGGAGAGCTTTTCTGGGATGATGGAGATTCTCGAGGTATCACCATCTCTGTCAGTTTAAACAAAGTCTGTTTGTATTTTAGGCACCGATGTGTACTCAAACCTTTTTTACGACGTAAAGGAAAGTTCAACAGCCCATTTCCCACACGGCCCAGAGCCACAAAGGGGAAGTGTAAACTTCAAGTTAGACAGCTGAGCATAAAAATTAGTAACAGTTTTCTCATGCATGGTGTGCATGGTTCACGCAAACACATTTTTACACCATCAGTTGTACTAACTTACTTTTAGTTGAATCCTAAATCTCTGAATAGCTATTTGCAAACAGGCTCTTCCTGCCAGATTATGGTAATAACATGTCTATTGGATTAAACAAGCTCACACAGAATAAACAAAATTGCTAAATATTTAAAAGCAGACAAAACTCACCTTTTGCATCCTTTTGTGCTGCCATGTGGGCCTATACTGCCTCTATAAACACGCCAAACGTGAATAAAAACATCCATCCATTTTCTTTCAGTGTTACATTTAGGAATCATGTGCCTAAATGAGCCGGTAAAAAAAGTCCCTTATTGTGATGTCACAACCAAGGAAATTATGATAGAAACACTTCTTTGATAGTCAATAATAAAGGAGCAGTAGCTCTACTCCTTCATAAACATGTTTTTTTAACCTAAGCAACTGTGTAGCTTATAGTGTGCCTGCTTTCAGGGAGTCACACATTTTTCTTTTTATTCCTGTGGTATTAACAAATGCCTTTTGAGTTATTTTCTGTAGAAAGAGTTCTTGCGTTTTTGCTTCAGAGGTAGACATTTGTCAGGGGAGTGGAGGATGGAAAGCAGCTGGAATTTTTTGCTTTACTTATTAATGTTCATGATATGCAAACATCTTGCCTCTTATTGGCTTACAGCAATGCAACAATTCCCCCTCTTTCATTCGCTCTTGTGTTATCTCAAATAATCAAACAAGCTCAAATCTGTTCCACCATGTTGTGGGATTGCTAAAGATTAGCTTCTACTAGTCGAGACACACTCTGTTGTCTCTCTGATGCTACATCAACACAGCCCTTCGCGATCAAATTCCAAGATGGGTGAGTCCGTGATTGCTAATGTACACTGTGACAAATGCATGGCCTTTTCTGACTCAATCATTTTCCCATCTGTTTACCATCCACAAGGGCTGAAGACTTTTTTCACATTCAGCATTTGCAGCTCAGAGTGGCCGATCGTATTTAAAAAAGAACAAGTATTACACAGTTTCTCAGAAAATCCTACCTTTAAATTACAAATCTGTGAACTGATGTGTGTTAGAGTTACTCTTCTTTCAGCTCAGACTAACTGTTAACATGTGAATAGAATAAAAAATAATTGAATATAATAGACGTTATTAGTCCCACATTAAAGAAATTCACTCGTCACAGGAGCACATCAAGAGGAAAGGAAGAAGAAAAGAAATAACAACAAAAATAATAACAATCTAGAAAAACGAAGTGGATCCAAATAATAGATTTTAACTCTGAATAAAAATGTATTGATGGAATAGTTAGAATGTGTGACTACATTACAGCATTTTAATAACATATTGTTAATCTTAAATGTGAATGGGTTAAGCAAGATAATTACTTATTCGATTAGGGTTCAAGGCTCTACTTTGATTAAGTAAAAAATGGACTCCAAGACATAGTTTTGCCCCATTCATGAGTGTTTTTTCCTTCATGGTTTTGGAACAGAAATACTCCGGGCAAAATAAACTGTCATGGTCTGCGTCTGCGTCTCCCTCATGTGTCTCCTTGTGTTCCTCATGTGTCCCCTGGTCTGCAGCCCCTCCAGGTTATCCCTCCCAGGTCCTGTGCTCCCGTTGGTCTCCCCTAGTCACCCCTCTGCAGTTTTTCTATAAGGTTCAGCTTTTCATTTAATTAGTGTGTTTCTTTCTCCACCGGTTTTTGTAGTTCTCCTTCCTCCTTAGAACATTAATTATTTAGCTTGCTCTTGTCTTTAGGTTTTGTTTTTGCTCTTAGGTTATTTATGTTAGTTTCCCCTCCTCTGCTCACTTTCTTCTCCCTGATCCGTTAATTGATTTCACTAGGTTTCTCTCCCCATGCACCTGCAGCTCATCTCCCACTCATCCTGCCCCAGTGTATTTAACCCTGTCTGCGTCTCCGTGTGGTGTTGGGTCATTGTTTGTCTCACCCTTGTCTCCTTCGCCTCTCTAGATTTTTTGTATCTCTTGGTTTCTTACGTTCTTGGATATCTCTAGGTTTTGTTACTAGTACTTTTTGATTTTGGTTTTTGGCTCCCTGCCATTTTTGGATTTATTCTTTAATTAAGGATTTTTACGTTAATTCTACCAACCCTGTGTCATCTGGAATCTCTGCATCTTTGGGTCCTAACCTCCTCTTGGCACACAACGCCACATAAACGTCCCTCTTCCATACTAACATCCTGTATTCCGGTTTTCTGCCCATTTAATGGTTTCATTAAAGTTTTGACAACAACATAAACAAAAATGAAGACATTAACATTGTTGTTTTTAAATGAGACTCTGAGATTTTATCTGTTCTAAACATTCAAACATGCTGCCTTGAAGTAAGAGTGAAAAGGTCTGTTTTAGGAAAAAGAGGCAAATGCAAGAAAAGTTAAAAACCCTTTAAACAAGTTCCCAAAGGTTGAAGTCTATTAAAAATCTAATTTCATTTAATTAATCTTTTACAGATACAGTTAATAATGGAAACTACATCCACTATAAGTTCTCTGTGATCTATGTGAGTATTCCTCAGATACGATTGTGTCTTCTCTTCAGACTAAAGTCACAAACTCTTCATTTATGATGTGATGATAAATCTTTGTTGAATCAAGTAACAAAATTTCAAAACATTTCTCAACATTGTTTTTACATAATTAAAACGACGTGTCGTTTTTTATTTTATTTTTTACAAAATCAGATTGTAAGAAGCTGAAGCAGCTTTACATGTTTCTAACCTGAGTATCTGCCACCTCTCAGGGAGTATTGACCATGCAGGTGACCAAAGTTGGATACAAAGACCCAAACAACCTCAAATTTGAGAACATCACTGTTCTCGGGGTGCCTCATCCTCCCACATCTGTCTCTGTGACTCATGTTAACACAGGGAGTCACTTAGGTGCAACCACAGTGCTGCCAAACACCAACATATACCATGATGGAGCCAAAGAGGTAATATTCCTTCTAACGAAGCTACCTCATAAAATAATCTCAACAGCGTTTGGTGATGCTCTCTTCATTCTGCTCAGGTCCTTTTCCTCCACGGTCTGTCTTTGACTCTAGGGGAGACCTATCTGGTTCGGTGGGACATGGAGGATGAAGAACTTCAGCGTTTTAACTGCCATCCTGAAGAGAATGCAGATGAAGCTAAATGCAAGAGCAGAGGCTGCATCTGGAAGGTGAGAATGGTGTACATGTTCAAGTACTTCCATCCTCTCAATGTTTTCATCATTTTTTTATTTCTCTCATTTAGCCAAGCAGCACTGAACGTGTCCCATGGTGCTTCTACCCAAAAGACTATGGCTATGTTGTCACGGCAGCCACAGAAACTGATTCTGGCATCATGGTGGACATCACTCGGAACGTGAAACACAGGATTAGTGCTCGTCCTGACTCGCCAGACATTAACAACCTCCGTGTTGAGATTCGATATCATACGAGTGACTTGCTCCAGTTCAAGGTGGGTTCTTGTACTGTTTTCTTCTTTTAGGACATTTCCTGTTCCTCTCACAGATACATGATTATTTATTCATGTCCAGATCTGGGACCCGACCTCAGATCGCTTTGAGGTGCCTGTGCCATTGTCCACTCCTGATGCTCCCGAGACTGATGAGAACAAAAGGCTTTACAAGGTTTTAATAAGCAACAAACCGTTTGGCATCCAGGTCATCAGGAGGAGCACTGGAACCAAGATGTGAGTACTTCCTTAACAAAAGTAGTTAGAACGGATCCCGTTGAACCTCCTGATCAGCACATCAGACAGTTTTTTGTATGTTGCAGGTAAAATACCAAGATCTGATGACAAACCTATAGAATTCTGGCTCAGAAAATCTCATCCTTTAACAATAAGTAGTTTTTAAATAGCATGATTCATGAAAATCCATAAACATGCATTTTATTCTCCCCTTATTTCCCAGTTGGGAGATCATGTTGATGACATTGGTGTTGCTATTAAAAAGGCAAAAAAGAAATCTATATTCTAAAGCAGTGGAAACATTATTGTTAAAGCAAATTAACTCTCATAGGCCTTGTAGTTATTGTGAGTGTCCTTCCTCAGCTGGGACTCCTCGGTACCAGGCTTTACCTTTTCAGACATGTTCATCCAAGTGTCGACTCGCCTGCCATCCAAGTTCATCTACGGCTTTGGAGAAACGGAACATCCCACTTTTAAACATGATCTCAACTATCACACCTGGGGTATGTTCTCCAAGGACCAGCCCCCAGGCGTAAGTACCACCGACTCTAAATCACAGCAGGTCTACATGCAAACAAACTTATGGAAACGATTCAGTTCGTATTTCACAGATCTACACGAGTAAATTAACTAATTAGAAGTCGTCAGAATCACTGAACTGACATTTTACAAAGAGCTGATGGATCAGGATGCAACCATGACTTATAGTATGATTTCTGAGTTTCCCTCTCTTCTTTGTGCCCTGTCTGCTCCTACACCTTCTTTCTATTTCCACCCAGTTTCTAAAAATAAAAACATTTATTTTCTGCTTCAGTACAAAATGAACTGTTATGGGGTTCATCCCTTCTACATGGGCCTTGAGGACACAGCTGACGCCCACGGGGTCCTGCTGCTCAACAGTAATGCTATGGGTGAGAAATGGCGCACTTGTGAACACTTTTACACATGGATTCTTTTTCATGCACAACATATTTTTACCTCGTGTGTACACACAGTCACAGTAAAGCGATGAATCAGAGCATATTTATAAATTGAGTAAAATGTTGTTTCTAGCTGAAGCCCTTCAACAGGAAGGATTTATTCTTATTGTTGTGTCCAGATGTGACTTTTCAGCCAACTCCAGCTTTAACCTTCCGTACAGTCGGAGGCATCCTGGATTTCTACATGGTTCTGGGACCCACACCTGAGATGGTTGTGCAGGAGTACACAGCTGTAAGGTTTATGTGTGTGTGTGTGTGTGTGTGTGTTTTACTGTAGGTTTGAAGCAGAAAGGGGTTCCTTAAATATTTTTCATTCAGCTCATGTAAGAACACGAAAATGAACATGCTGCTAGCCCCCGTCCTGAAATAATTTGGTTGCTTGTTGATCCCTGATCTCAGCTGATTGGACGACCTGTTCTACCAGCCTACTGGTCCCTTGGGTTCCAGCTCTGTCGCTATGGATACGCTAATGACTCAGAAATTAAAAGTCTCTACAAAGACATGAGGGCAGCTGGTATTCCCTATGTGAGTTCCAACACCTTCAGTTTAAAATATAAACAGCACCATGCATAAAAATGATAATTTTTCAGTTTTGTCCTGTAACTGATGTCTACTAGCTGAATGGGGAGCGGACTGTTTGGCCAGAAAAATAATGCGTTCATTGCATCTACTGCAGGACGTGCAGTATGCAGACATCGATTACATGGAGCGTCAGCTTGACTTTGTCCTGGACTCAGAGTTTGCAGGTCTCCCAGCTGTGGTGGACTCAATGAGAAACGAAGGCATGCGGTTCATCTTTATTCTGGTAAATGTGATCATAATGTGCACAAGGGACAACACTTTTTTATGTCTGACCTGAAATGTGCAAAATGTTACAGTTGCACACCTGAGAATAAAAGCTTCGGACTTACAAAGCATTGTTATTGTCAGCAATAATGATGATTCAGTTTTAGATGTGCATGACTGAAATAGTGGTATGCCTACAATACGTTTATGTGTGGGATTTAATTTAGGATCCAGCTATTTCAGGCAATGAGACCAGATACCCTGCTTTTGAAAGAGGACAAGCAGCTGATGTCTTCATCAAATGGCCCAAACATCTTAAAGATGACATTGTTTGGGGAAAGGTGAGAATACTGATTATGATACAAACTTTAAATATCTCTTATGTATTTATTGATAGATATTTTAAAAGGTAGCATGATGACTTTTACATATTTAATTTGTGACGTGTCTCCAGGTATGGCCCGATCTCCCAAATGTAGATGTAGATGAAAATCTTGACTGGGACACCCAAGTAGAGGTACAATATTTTACATATTCACCTTCTTGCTGAACAGCTAACGATGTATTAAAATATAAATACTACAAGTAGGGATGAAAGAATCAGCTACATCATTTAAATCTCAGGGTAAAATGCTTCATTTGTCAGTGCTCTGACCAGTCAGAACACCCAATGGTAGGCAAGCGGCTTTAATGGTGTAGCTGATTGGTGTGTATTATAGCCTGAGCTTTATCAGCTTTCATTATTTCTTTCATTAATCTCGTGGCCATTCCATTTTCAGATCTACAGGGCGTACACAGCATTCCCTGACTTTTTCCGAACCCAAACAGCCACATGGTGGCAGAAAGAAATCCAGGATTTCTACAATAACATCATGAAGTTTGATGGCCTTTGGATTGTGAGTTTATTCACTGGAGGACAAAATATTTCAGTGGTGCCCAGAAATTTTAAACAAAGGCAATTAGACTCCTTATCTGATTCTCGAAGACTTTAAGCTTCTCTTTTAAAAACCTTTCCCAAACTGGGTGTCCAGTTGCCTTCAGTTAAGTTTGTCAGGATTTCATTTTATAACATCTGTCTTCATCTACAGGACATGAATGAACCTGCTAGTTTTGTTCATGGAACAGTTGGAGGGAAGTGTCTGGGTGACCCTCTACTAGAGAACCCACCGTATATGCCACGTAAGAAACACGCCGACCTGTTGTCCCTCTTGTGTCCTCACACTTTAACAGTAACAAGAAAATAACCCACGAAATCATTTTTCATGTGTGTGTGTGTGTGTGTGTGTGTGTGTGTGTGTGTATCCTAAAGCCCTGGAGTCCAAACACCTTGGTTTAAACCACAAGACACTTTGCATGAACAGTGAACAGATTCTTAACAATGGGAGGAAAGTGCGGCACTACGATGTCCACAACCTGTATGGATGGTCCCACACCAAACCCTCCTTTGAGTAAATGCATTTTCATCTTTTTCTGTATTTTTTGTTATTTAACTCTAAGACAAATGTCTACGTGTCTCCTCTCTGTGCAGCGCTCTGCTGAGTGTGACGGGTAAACGAGGAGTTGTGGTGACCAGGTCGACTTATCCCTCCAGCGGAAAATGGGCCGGTCACTGGCTGGGGGACAATTTTTCCCGCTGGGATCAGCTGGTCAAATCTATTATAGGTATCTGTAGATGCATTAATACATTTTTTTATTCTCCTGACCCCAGTCTGATAGAAATAGATTTCTACAAGAACGGGTCAAAAACATTCTCTTCTTTGTCATCCTGCAGGTATGATGGAGTTTAGTCTGTTTGGGATCTCTTATGTAAGTATCAACACCTGTTTTCAGTTGTCATGGCCTATTTCATTTGTGCCTAAGTACAATAGACCTCTGAGTTGGACTCTTCAACAGAAATGTTTTGTTTGACCTTGTCCAGTGTATTCTTACTGTCTCCTCTTTCGATAGCCTTATGCTGCTTTTAAATTCTCCTTGAGTACATTAATAATACAATCTGACAACATTTTTACCATTTGACAAAAACTATTTTCATTAAACCTAGTAGTGTTGCCAAAAAAATCGATACCCAGATATAAATCGATGCTAAAAGTGGTATCTAAATTAGATATTCCATCCCTGTGGTATCGATATTATGGACTATTATACACAGCCTTCTTCAAGTACACCGACACGCACGACAGCCAGATGCCGTAAAGCAGCCTTTGCCTCCCAGACAAACAGAAGAAGACGCCGCATGGCTACATTGCAAGTTCCTACGCGAGTTGTCTCCGATCCAAGTTTTGTCTGCCAAATAAATAAACAAAAGCATAAACAGCAAATTTGGGAGGCGCTTCACAGCCCAACTTAATTAGCATACCAAGTCCGACACGTAGTTGTATATTCACGCTTATGTGCTTAAAGGAAAACTCCCGTTTATTGCAACCCGGGCTTAATTTCTAGCATGCAGTACGTTTGTTTACTCACGCTGACAACTTTGGTGCTACTTGGATTCCCCGGGGTATTTAGATCCATCGGCGAATCGCCGTCAGTGTATATCCATATAACGGGTGCGAACGGGTACCCATGGTGCAGCCTCGAAATAAGACATTATCTGCACCAAAACTTCTCAATGTCAAAAGGTTTTGTTTGGAATCATTAACATGATTCCCCTGTTCGTTTGGAGCGAGTCTGGGATTTCTGGGCGTGAACAGACTAGCCGCGGCTACTCTAACCGACGCTTTTAATGACGTCACTGCCGTGCGCCAATCTGTTTTTATTAAGATTACCGGTAGATGTACCTTTGTCCTACTGTGGAGAAATTCGTTTTCTCCCTTTATTGACCAACAGAGTTGTTCAAAAGTACAGAACAAAACATATGGCATTACAGCTTATGACAACAATACACCTTAAACAGAGTTTAAGCAGCAAAACATCACTCTGCAAATAGTGTGTATATAGTGAGACAATTCATGATTTAAAGTGTTAACTTTTGCCAGTTTTTATATGCATGTTTTAAAAAATGCTGATACTTGAAAGGTTTAAGCACTTTACACACTTAATTCTTAACATTTAATGTTTGCAATATAAATTGAGGAATGTTATTTTTTGAACAAACTTGTTCAATAAATTTGTGTTTTTAAATAGTATCGAAATTGAGTATCGAGTTTTTTCCAGTATCGAATCGAGTTTGAAATTTTAGTATTGTGACAACCCTAAAACCTAGTGGCATTAACACAACATGCCAAAAAACATTAAAAAAAATCATATTTAAAGCCACTTTACTGAATCTGCAAAACCGTTTTCTAGCTTGTAATTATAAACACAGAGCTCTCACCCCTCCTGCTTGCATCATCCCAAGGCCCAGCCGCCTGATACCAGAAACCCACATTGCCACAGTAAACCAGATAGTGCTAAACACCAGGTCCAAACATCTTTTGGTGTCAGTGACTTCAAATAGTGTTTATCTTTTTGGGATTATGGTAATTTGTCCTAAAGTTGAAGCGGTAGCAGTCGGCTGTTTCTCCTTCTCTGATATTACTGAGCAGAGATCCTCAGCAGTGTTCTGCTGCCAAACATGCGAGTGTGTTGTAATGAGTGGAGGACCCAGGTATGTGGAAGTGCAGTGGTTTGCTGAGACAGACAACTGGATGGTCTAATTGTTGGTTTTGGACCGGGCCGTGTTATTGGTTGAAGTTTAAAAAAAACACTTTGCTATTTCTATATGAATATTTATAGCTTGTTATGTTTTGTATTAGGTAGGAAAAGCAGGGAGCAGTTACTTTAGCCACTGAGACTTTATTACAGGAGATGAACAGTCTGCCATGTAGTGGCCAGTACACAACATAGCTATACTTTGTGAGAATGTTGAGAGGCATGAAAAAATGTTTTAAGCTAGCTTGTTTAGCAGTTTTGCCATTATAGCTTTAATCATCTCATTGGTTTTAAAGTGCTTCTTGTGATTGCACCTGAAGACATTTGTCTTTGTCCTTCAGACTGGAGCAGATATATGTGGCTTCTTTGAGAAAGCAGATTATGAGATGTGTCTTCGCTGGATGCAGCTTGGAGCTTTCTATCCATACTCACGCAACCATAACAGCAAAGGAAACCCGGTTAGTGGCTTCACAAATCAATGATGACCACTTATTGTGAAACATTAACAATCTTACATCAAGCATTAAAGGATGAACTCATTAACCTCAAAATGTGAACGCCTAAAACCGCTTTTAGTACATATTAATGAACAAATATTCTACCTCACCATCCATCTTTGGTCACTAACTTTGTATTTTTCTTTTGGTCAGAGACAAGATCCGGTTTCCTGGGATGACAGTTTTGCTGCTGCTTCCCAGAAAGTCCTGAACATCCGCTACACCCTCCTGCCGTACCTGTACACACTGATGTTTGACGCTCACACCAAAGGAAGCACGGTGATCAGACCGCTGTTACACGAGTGAGTAAAAAACAACCAACACAGCTACCTGTTGCTCCCCGTGACCTGCAGCTTTAGATTCTGTCACCAAATCAATGATTTTAGGTACAACCATGGATTTATGCTGCATTGTTTTTACTGATGTACAGCATTTAACCTGAGGTCTTTTTAACTCATCGCTAATTCCAGCAATTATACAAATGTTTCAATACACCTTTAGCACCTGCAAACCAACCATGAAGCAGGTGGATAAAATTATCATTTTTTATTTAACAAATAAAATCTACTTTTATTTTAAATCTGAAAAATTCTTGAGTTGAGTTTTATCTTGTGTGTCAGAAAGATTTAGGAGGTATCAAATAAAAAATGTCATGATGTGGAGGTGAGTGAGACCCTAATGTAGGTGAGTAAGAGCACACTGAAGGCAGCCATAGGAGAAGTAGGAGGAAAAGCATAAAAAGTCTTTAAGTCAGGGCTCAGGAGACAACTTGGGTTCAACAGCAGACGATCCAACAACTAACACAAAAGCAGACAAGGTTTAAATACATGAGGAGCAGCTAATCAGGTAACGAGAAGCAGGTGCAAACAATGAACTAAACAGACACAGGAGACACAGGAGCAGGGGACGGACATAGATCAAGGCGCTCACCTACGGCCGACAGGCCTCCTTTTGACAGCTCCAACATGACGTTGTGGGGAAAAACAAGAAATGTATCCAACAAATTTTATAAGACCACAACTGCTTTTAATAAACAGCTGAAATTAATTTAGTGGTTATTTTGTTAGCATCATCAAACCAGTGAATTCTAGAATAAGTGTTTGAGAAACTGGACTGAAGATGCGTGATTGACCTTAGTGAATGTTTTCTTAACCGCCCTGATGGACTTTACTCTTGTGTGTCAGGTTTGTGAAGGACAAAGCTACGTGGGACATTTACAGACAGTTCCTGTGGGGACCTGCTCTACTCATCACTCCTGCTCTAGATCAGGTGTATTTATGATGTCATGCACTATTTGTGTTTCATTTCTCCTGCAGGACAGAAATAAATATATCAAATATTTACATGTTTTATCATCATGTTTTAACTCATGATTAGATAAGAAAAGGTAGTTTGTTTGTGTGTGTGTGTGTGTGTGTGTGTGTGTGTGTGTGTGTGTGTGTGTGTGTGTGTGTGACATTTCCTGTTTACTGATTTTTTTCATTCAAAGGGAGTCAGAGAGGTGGAAGGCTACCTTCCTAATGCACGCTGGTATGACTATCACACGGTAAGTATCTGTCAGAAAATCAACAAAAGATTTTGTTAAATGATTAGTTAGTGTGTGTTAATGGTCAAATATGACTCAAAATATGCTAAAAAGATAATGAAAATAAATCCCAACTGAACTTTTAGAGACAAAGTAAGACATGAACATTTACTTCATGACTAGATATTTCATTAAAGCCATACAAGAGCTATTGTTTAACTATACACACATACATGGTTATGGATGGCTGTAAACCGCCTTGCTGGCAAAGGGGAAACCTCTGCCTCTCCCACCCACTTCTCGTGGATCTATTTTGTCATTGCCTCAATATATGCTTTTATGTTTGAGGGTTTTTTTCTGAAATCCCAGCTCTTCTCCCTGGGTAATGCCCCCATGTCCTCTCGTAACCCCGTCTGCATAAATGGGAGCGCCGTGAATGGCTGCATGCCCACAGTTCAGCCCGATTCTGTAATGTGGTTTTAATGTCAAGCCTTGCACGGGTTATTCTGAAACAGTAATCTAGTTGTGCCGGGACGCTGGCTCATTGACAATAAAATAATTCTGATTGTGAATGGGGCTGCAGTCGGCACCAGTAACAACATCAAGCTGGGTCAAAGATTGTCCAGTTTCTTGATGGACACACAGTTGTTTCCATTGACTCAGTGCTGGTGTATAGTTCTGGGTCTTCCACTTGACTTTTTTTTATCAGGATCATTTAAGAAATTCCAAAGGACTGTCTCACTGCATCCCACATGCTGAGAGAGACTCTGCTTATGCGGTCCAACAACCAAACCACGTTCAAAAAGGGAAAGATATTTTTTATATCTTTTCTATAAGAGCATAATGACGTTGTGACTGCCTGACTGAAAATGACAATGAATTGACATTTTTGCACAGATTTGGCCTTTTAGAGGCAAGTGGTGTTAAACTTTTCATCAGCTGTGGAACTACCAGTTTCAGTTTAAGCACTGTTTTAAATAGACGGCATGCTCAGAACATGTTTTGTCTCAATACCATTTCTTTTCATCTCATGTTGAAGCTTTACTTGGAACCTTGTTAAGATCAAAATATTCAAAATAAGATCTTTGGCCGTTTGCAAGTGGTCTTAAACTTTTGGTTGGGAATGTTTTAATAACATGGTTACATGTTACAATACGGGTCCCTTTACTAACATTACTATTGTTGACTATTAAGTGATCTTATGGTTAGGATGGGAGGGGGCTGCTTAGTAATGCATCATTGTTATTATTCACTTTAATAGTAAGCAGTTGTTAATCCTTCATTTTTAGTGTTTATTAATGCTTAATAATGTATTAAGTATTATTAATAAAGACACCTATAATAACAATAAAGCCATGCAGTTGCTGAATGAAGTTAATTTGTTGTTGTTGTTTGTCCAGTAGTTTAGGTTTAGTGAATAAACATATTTGTTTTCAATAGGCCAAGGATGTTGGGGTCCGTGGTGAAATGATCAGCCTGCCAACACCACTGAGCCACATTAACCTTCATGTCAGAGGAGGATATATTTTACCTCAGCAGAAGCCAGAGAACACAACGTATTACAGGTAAATACCCACACAGCTAAAAAACTGTGGCCAACATAAAGATGCTGTTTAGGAAAAGATGTATTATTTGCATGTGATCTATTAAGGAGTGTGTTTTTTTATTTGTTCATATTCAAACGTTGGAATAAAAACTGCCTCGTCATTGTTGGCTAACATCCCTGAGCTAATTTATGTATTTTATTTTGCTCATTCAGTTGAAACAGTTCAGATGTGCTGTGAGACTCAACTAAATATCAGAGGAAAAATATTATTTTTGTACTGTACAAAAAATAAAAACAATACTGGTTATCAAATATGACTGCGAAACTAACTCATTCACTGCCAGCTGTTTCCTGATTGCTAACGGCCTTCGCTGCCAGCGTTTCTCACCGTTTTTACTGTTTTTTTAAGAGTCACAGAATGTTGCGCGCTAGGATGATGTCGACGCCAAAACAACCAAAACAAAGAGGAGCCTCGCCTCTTACATCAGGAAGAATCCGCGTGTTTCGAGCGTTATCTGTTCTTTCATAATCCGTTGTCGAATTGTGACCGGCAGATGCTTTTCCGGTTCGCGCCTCACCTTTTTTACAGGAACGGCCCAAAATGATCTCCTAACACATGGATGTTCTGCTTCCTGATCACGTGATGTGTGACGTATGCAGATGAAAATCGGCTTCAGGGCTGAGATGTTTGTTCTCTCAGCGCGGGGGCCCGTTCCGATGATCAAACAGTAAAAAAATGCAAATGACAACTTTAGTCGTCAATGGCAGTGAATGAGTTAAAAGGAGACTAGGCAGTTTTGGCTTACCTTTAGCACTCTCTAGTGTCCCTTCGTAGAACTAAAAGCAAAACTTCTCGCTCTGCGTTTGTCGTTTTAACACCTTAATCTAACAGCTTGTTACGTTCCTTGTGCTAGGCAACAAGAGTCAGTAACATAAACAAGACGAGACAAAGCATTTTGTACAAAAGAGATAGTTATCTTTTTTTTCTCAATTCTGCCCAGAAAGAGTTGGAGAGCTTCACTTCTTCCTAGATAAATTATTATAAAGGTTAGAACACCGAAGAACCAGAACCTGCCTAAACTAGTTTGATGTGTATCAAATTAAATCTAACCCAAAAGTGCGTCAAGAATTTAAATATCTTATAGGGAAATGTTTTTAGTAGGCCAGTTTTTCATACAAAACACAATTTTCCTACTCAACAGCTCACTCTCTCCTAGAGTGCTGCTTCACAAGAATCAGAGACCCTCAGTTAAATAACATAAGGGAAACGAGCCAACATGATGAACGCAGAGTTTACTCGAGCCTTTACTCAAAACTTCCCTAGAAGTAAAACTCAAAAGATCAATTAACAGAGAAACTAAAGCTGCTCAGGGAGAATGTACCCAAGTATATCTAGCGCAACCAGAACAAACAAGAAACGGTGTTGCGCCAAAACAGAAATACTTATCCATTCAGCTGAGGACTACAGGAAACCTGGCACTTTCTCAGCTCAGGAATCCATCAGCCTCCCATTGAAAACTCTGGTTCTTTTGCTCCAGTCAGCCCCGTAAATCTTCCAAAGCGTCATCATCCCACGCTATCGCTCTCTGGGTCTCGTCTTCTCCGTCTGGTCTCTGTGTTTTAGTTCCGGCTCGCTCCTCTCTCTCTTCCTTCCCTTCTTCCTCTCGAGTTCCACTTCATGTCAGCATAGACACACTGCAGCCGTGAGTGGCAGAAACCCGCTGGGGAGGAGCTGTCCATGGTTCTGAAAGTCTGCGAAGACGGGAGCATCCTCAGGTCCTGAATCCTTACGTTTCCCAGAATTTAGCTGTCCTGAAGCCAGGTGGTCATAACACAGCTGAAACATCTCCCAGCCTTCCTTAGTGTCTACAGGAGTACTTCATCACTAAATCAAACAAATCTGCTGCGTTCATGATCTAAAACATGCATGAAACGTGGTGGAACCAGACTGCAGCGCTGGTTATATCAGCCCAATTTTGTCTAAGTCCCAACAGGGGGGTCCACCACTCTGAAGTTGCAAGTGGAATATTCTTTCCTCTTTTTCCACGTTTATTATGTGAAGTGCCTTGAGACGACTCTTGTTGTGATTTGGTGCTATATAAATAAACTTGAATTGAATATTCTGGCCACAGGGGGTGATAGGGGCTGGTTGGCCTTTCATTAACTGTGTAAAGGGTCATTTTTGCACATACTGGCTCAAGAAAATGATTTAAAAATATGAAAAAAGTTGCAAAGTATGGCTTTGAATTTAAAAATAGATATAAACTCACTCATTTTTTTAATTTATGAAAAACAAGACCCACAACCATTTATAGACTCACATACAAATTATGTAAATCAGTTAATGGGGCAGTCTGCAATACCCTGAAGGAGGAGGAGGAGGAGGAGGAGAAACAGTTCTTTTAAAAAAGGGCTTCAGTACCTCTATCTGCTCATGTCTCAAAGAAAAGCTAAATAATCCCCAGCCCCCTGTGAGCCGTTTCAAGCGGGCACTTTTTCTGAGCTGACGCTGTTTTGTAGTTGTTCTCTGGTGCTAAGCCTGCCCAACGTCCTTCCGCAAACACAGAGAGCTGTTATATTCTGGGAGTTGAGCATGGACAGATAAAGTCCTTTGACAATCTGCTATAACTCAGATTTGTTCTTTTTCAGTCGCAAGAATCCTTTAGGACTCCTTGTTGCTCTGAGTGACTCTGGAACGGCTCAAGGCTCCTTTTTCTGGGATGATGGAGAAGGAATAGGTGAGTAAAAGCTCAGACTTCAGCTCTCACTAATCTGTGTAAAGCGTTTATTTATGATGAAAACAGTTTCAGTCATTTGAGACTTAAATCTGACTTAAATCTGTTTTACCACCTCTAATATATCTGCTGTATTTAATTTATTCACATATTCTCCTGTCAGACACGGTGGGGAGAAACGAGTATCTTCTGACGTCCTTTTCAGCAGAATCAGTAAGTGTGAGGGTGTGGCCTTCCAGTGAGTAGGCTGCTGTATTGCCTTTTCTGCTGAGTAAGCATGTTCTCCTCATACATGTGTGGGGTTTCTGCAGGTACTCTCATTTCCTCCCACAGACCTAATCATGCCTATTAGTCCGTCTCTAAATTACCTCAAGGTGTGTGTGTGTGTGTGTGTGTGTGTGTGTGTGTGTGTGTGTGTGTGTGTGTGAGAGAGAGAGATTTATTGATGTTTAAGAGTTAAATACAAATCAGCATCCCAAGGGAAGGAAAATCAAGGTCAAAAGGAGACCTCCGAAGAAAAGTAAAACCATAATATCTTGGGGTCTTTTGTGTGTAATAAAGTGTGCATGTTTTTTTCTCACCAATTCTTTCTCCAGAACAAGTTGACCAGTCAGGTGGTTCACAATGGACTGACAGCTGCTGATCACGTGATTTTGGGTGAGGTGAAGGTTTGGGGTGCAGGCAACATCAGGGTCACAGAGGTGACCCTAACAGACCCAGAAGGAAAGCCACATCAACTCACTCCTCAGCATGACCTGGAAACTCAGGTCAGCAGGTCACAGGTCCCTAGGAATCACATTTACAGGGAATAATTTCAGAGGGAAGATGAGATTTTACGAAGAGGTATAGAGCTATATGATAGATGATAAAGGACAGGTATTTATGGATGTTTTAGTCTAAAAAAAACTTTGTCTTAGCTACCTGCTGTTGTTTGAAACAGTGTAACTTCTTAAATAATTAGGGAGGAAAATGCCTCAGAGTGTGTAATTAATGCTGATGAAGGACAATGAGAGGAATGCTGCAGCCTGCAGGATGACAGAAAGACATGCATGTAGAAGAGAGAAAAGCAGAGAGGAATAAGAAAAGGGAGTAAAGGTCTCAATATGTGTAAAAATATAAATATTAAGACTTTATTTTCTCACTTCTCACTCTATCCACAGGAGCTGATTATAGATGCCACATCAAAGGCTTTTTCTTTGCATCTTCCTTTTACAATAAGATGGAGGACCGCCTTCTGAAAGCCAAAAACTTTTTGCTCATGTAGTTCATATTTTTGTAGATAAACCCATCTTGAGGATGTCTCTATCCTGCCCCAAAATACAAATTTAAGAAGCAAAAGTTCTTGTAAAATAATAAAATGGGTTATTAAAGAGAGGTGTTGGTGTTGATTTTTACAAGTGAAGCAAAACCTACTTTTAAATTATTTTAGAAAAAATAGAACTTGTGACATTTTTCCTCAGCCTTCTGCGGAGAACTCATGCTGAACTGGAATTTCTCTGGGTGGCCCTGTTTTCAACAGACCCAAAGTATATATATATATATATATATATATATATATATATATATATATATATATATATATATATATATATATATATATATATATATATCAATTTATATATTTTTAAATTGATTCTTAAGTTGTTTTCTTTGAACTGATGCTGTGAGTTGGAACTCTAAGTGAAGCAGAACTAATGTTCAGACGAACCTTTTTTAGGGCGACACACACAAAGTACAAGTGCTTACCGCGGTTGTGCTGCTTGTTGGCGCCATTCAAACAAGATGGACTCTAGGTTATCGAAGTGAATTCCATGTGTTCTGATTTCAAGCTGATGAAAATGTGATGCCAGTGTCAGTAAGAAGATAAACATCATTTTCTCCCATTTGTTACAGCAGGTGACGAGGTGTGTTCATTGTCTGCTGTGTAAATTAGAGCTTTTTATGGATAATATGGTTTAAGGTACATTTGATGCTAGTGTAAAGCGTGTTTATGGTATTTGTGTTAACTGAACATGTAGAATGAGTCAAAGTGACAAATATTTTCAGTTTTGATGCTGTTTTTTGTATCTTATTTATAATTTTGTAGAAACTTGGACATTTTTAAAAAAGTGATCAAATGTCATGTTTAATATGTCTACTAGATTAAGCCTGAGCTCACTAACAAAATGACACCTCATTTGTCAAAATTCACTAAGCAGTCCAGAGAAATAAAACTTAACCATCCTAATTAACGCCCATTTGTTTTAATTGAAAATGCATAAAAACAAAGAAAAAGCCTGTGATCAAATTTTGATTAGCTGTAAAATTAATTGTAGAAAAGAGGCCATATTTTAGTTATTAATAAAGATAATTGGTTGAAATTTTCAGGAGATGTCAACAGACAGGTCCAACATAGAATGTCACCCGTGCCACCAAGACTGACCCATACTGACCTTTGGAAAATTAGGTTAAGTTCAAAGGTCACCACCAACTCTATAGCCCCCCAAAAAATAAAAAACTCAACAATTTTAACAACTGAAATCCATTGTGCACTGTAAACTAGATTTAGATGATTTATTGCACATTTGTCACATTAATACACGATGGCTCGATTATTTCAGCCAATCAGGGGGAGGCTGGTGGCAGCCATCTTGAATAAATTAATGATTTTTTTCTTTTTCACCAAAATATGGCGAGTGACATATCAAAATGCTCGTCTCAACTCCATTATACGAAGACTGCAAGGTCCCTAAGAAGGTAGTCTGTCAGTGCTTCTGAAGCTTTCGCTGATGAATCAGCTGAGTCCTCTTCCATTTCCTCCGGCAGCCAGTGCACTATCCTCAGCATGGCAGGTTTCTTCTTTGAAACTAAGTTCCAGGATCTTCCCACAGTATGGCACATCTTCATCCCCCATGTCCCAAATGTGAAAGATGTATTTTCCCACCAAACTCTGTGGGCCTTGAAGCATCTGAACCACAGATTGGCATCTGGATTTACTCATGTCATCTGACTTTTCCAAAACGCGTAACAATTCTGATTCAAAATCTTCTGGCATACTGGCCATAGCACCTTCAATTTTCCTCTCCACTTTTCCCCGAAAAGATTTGTCCTTTTTCTGGATCTTCTCTTTCAGTCTTTTTTGATAATCCAACATGGTCTGTGCCTCTCGCTCCTTCCTAATTGCTCTGCATTTTTGGGCATAAGAAATCAGACGATCTTGTTCCTCAAGAGGTTTACTTTTAAGCCAAGGCAATGTGTTGTTTTTCTTGCCTTTTAGTTTAGCATCTATGAATCCAATGGTGGCATTAGGGGCTCTCCTGTACTGACTGTCTGTAAGACCAAGGATCCGCTCACTTGCGATATGGTATACAGGCACCGACTTAGTAATTTGAAGCATCTGAGGGGTAGGAGAAGACAGATTTTAAATATGAAAAACAAGGATTTTTTTGTATCGGATTCAAAAACAAATAACAAAAAAAAAAAAAAAGAATAAATAAACATTCACATTTTCATTTTTTGATTTTCAGTTATCAATTGAAAATAGAAAGAAGAATGTTTTGAGTTAATCCCTCCCCCATAAAAATTATGGCTTTTTTTTCATTTAACAGTAACCTAGATTTAGACAAACTAACTTACCATGAAATGAATTCCAAATTCAATATATTTTTATATTTTTCTGAAGCAAGGCCTACATCTCGGTCTCAAGGGTAATCCATCTGAAATAAATGTAAAAGAATTTAGCTACATTTCACCAAAATAAATGCATAGAAACCCATCAATTTGCTCCAAAGTTGATTCACAACTGAAAGCACATGGCTACTTGTTTACAAACACAACGCCACTGTCCAATCTGATGACATCATTTCAGTCACGTGACCTATACCGGCAGCTAGCCAAATATTATGCCAGAACCACCCGAAGAACATCAACAATCATCCACAATACCTAATGCTGAGCAGAGCAAGAAGCAGGATATATTGTATTTAAAGATGTTAATTATGTCATATCAAGTTAAATGTTTATGCTACAACGCATTTACGATACAGTATTTGAGCAAGATTGTTGACCTATTTTTCACAATTCTGGGTCCGCCATTTTGATTTTACGGGTGAACATGGGTCTGATTCGAGGCTTGAAAACACACTTTCTACTCTTCAGTATGCATTAAAACTTCGTCAAACATTAGATTAAAAATATTCTAATGTCCTATACCTTTCGATACATCCTAAGAGTTCTGTCATAGTTTTGAAAAGGGTTGAATGTGAGCCAAAATTTCGATCATGTCAAACTTCATCACAGACGCACCGGAAGTGACGAAATCATCAACGAGGTTGAAGAGGTTTTTTTTTCCTATGTCATGTCAAAGAATCACAGGGACTTACCTCCTCTAAGTCAATGAAAACGCAGACTTCCAGAATATTTGGTTTCCTTAGGTTTGTTTAGCAAAGACTTTAAGAGCAGATTAAGAGTTATTGGGTGTAGTTTTATCCAAAAATTATCTGGTTGATCATTCATGCATGATTGCTCAAAGTGTTTAAGATTATTGAAAACCTAAACATGTCAGTGACAAATGTATTTTAGAGAAATGTTAGTGAGGAGGTGAAAGATGTCACCAAATCATTGCAAAATGCACTTCGCTCTCAGACTGTAGGTCTACTGGTGGTTCCAAGAATATCTAAAATTAGGATGGGAGGCAAATCTTTTAGTTATCAGGCTCCTCTCCTGTGGAACCAGCTCCCAGCCTTAGTCCGTGAGGCAGACACCTTGTCTACTTTTAAGAATAGGCTTAAAACATTTTTATTTCATAGGGCCTATGGTTAAAATCTGATGTTAGCCTAAATCAGGACAAGTGGGGGAGTAGAGGGAGGTGGAGTGTACAGTCGGTAAAGACGGCTCTCCCTTGCCCTGCCTCCAACATGCCTCCATCTAAATAGGATAGATTATCCAGCGTTATCTCTGTAGTTATGCTGCTATAGGCTTAGACTGCTGGAGGATACACTGACCACTTTTCACACTCTACTGCTTTCTTCTACAATCTGCTCTTTAACTGTACTATTTTGTGCAATTTCAGCTGTTAACTTTATTTTCTCTGTAAGTGTTTTTCTCCCCAGAAGAAGCGACAATGACGTTCTGCTGAGCTGTGGTGGCCTCAAGGAGGGGGCCATCGACTAGCACACTGCTGCTAACCACTTAAACATTCTCTCTCTCTCCAGATAATAACTTTTTGGTTTCCTTGACTTTTGATGTGCTAATACTAGTTTATCCATTTAATTATAGATCCACTAGGATAAATACAATAAAGTTTATCTTTCACCAAATAGAATATTTACTAAGACATCACAATATAACTGTAGACACATTACTTGTCTGTGTGTGTGTGTGTGTGTGTGTGTGTGTGTGTGTGTGTGTGTGTGTGTGTGTGTGTGTGTGTGTGTGTGTGTGTGTGTGCTCTGTCTTCTCGATCTCCAGTGAGTCGTGGAGGATGGCTGCTTATACTGAGCCAGGATTCTCTGGAGGTTTCTTCCTGTTAAAAGGGAGTTTTCCTCTCCACTGTCACTTTATGCTTGCTTGGTATGAGGATTGCTGTATAGTCACTGATACTAGTCAGTGACTTGATGCAATTTGCTGGGTTCCTTATATAGGAAACATTATTTCTTATTGGCTTAATGAACTGTGAATTGGAATGTTTATTATGTGAAGTGCCTTGAGACGACTCTTGTCGTGATTTGGCGCTATATAAACAAACTTGACTTGACTTGACTTCAGTCTGCAGTTCGTCCCCACAGAAATATCCGGTTGAACAGGAATCCCAATTAAGTTCACAGGCTCACCCATCAACAAGTGAACATTCACAATATTCAGAAAAGGTACCTGAACCTCGCAAAAGTCATCGACCACAAAAGTTGACTGAAAAGGGGAGAAATCTGCATGACAAAAGATTGAAGGAACTGAAACAAAGTTTCAAGGTCATCTATGACAAGTGGAAAGTTCCAGCTAAAGATGCAAAACATTCACTTTCTGTTAAATGCTCAGAAAAGAAGCTGCAAGCCATCATAGACAATATCAATACAGCTTCAGATGAACTAAATGCAGTGTATGAAAGCTGGAGTCAAGAAGACATATCAGACACCAATCCACGTCGCAGAATTGATACTTGTGAAGCAATAACAAGAAATATTATCAAGAATGCAACACATAAATTGAGAGGAGAAACCCCTAAGAGCCACCAAACCAAAAAAAAAAAAAAGAGTTGAATGAAACTGGATCTGTTTTCATTTCTGAAAAATCCTATAAATCAAGTTTTTGCTCATGCTTTCCAGTCCATCTTATCAGACACAAGCCTCATCAAGAATCTGTTCTAAGCACTCTAGTGTGACATCTGCAAGTAGACAA